CCTGTGACAGCAGAGGTGGGGTGGCTGGTAGGTGTCGGGGACCGTCCCTCCACAGAGAACAGGCAGTCTGCTCCAACTTCATTCTTGACCATCATCTCAGAACCGGACAGAGACACTGGACTACACATCCCAAGCTCTTCTTCTTGGGCCTGCTGCCTCCTCAGGGCAACCTGGAAGGGAGGAGAGGTTTGATAAGGAACCGAGAGCATGAAACAAACATTGCCCTTATCTGCTGACTTCCCAGAACAGATTTAAACAGAGGCTCGTCTGAAAATTGTAATTACACCTGATTAGACAATAATAAGATTGTTTGTGTGCAGATAAACTGTTGATATCGCCATAAAACAAGATGTTATTGAAAACACGCTCCTGGCTGCTGAGCGAGATGAAACCAGCAGCTCTTTGTTGTTTATAATTCTTGAAAAACTGTTTAACAACCGACTGAAAAATTTATAGATAAACGACTCACCGAGAGTCAGTACGGATTCAGATCAAGCAGATCACCATCATTGGCACTATCAGATTCAATAGAATACATCTCAAATTCCATAGACAAAAAGCAATATGTGGCTGGGTTATTCAGAGACTTGACAAAAGCATTTGACTCTATAGATCAGGATATATTAATAAGAAAACTGGAACGTTATGGTGTCAGAGGGGTCGCTTTAGTGAGAGGAAGCAGTTTGTGAAATTAAATGGTGGTTGCTCCTTATGTATGCACATTGCTTGTGGTGTACCCCCCAAAATTCAACATCATTAACGACATCTGTAAAGTGTCCAAAGCATTAAAAATGGTTCTCTTTGCTGACGATACAAACATTTTTTGCTCTGGTGATGATCTGCAGAATTTATTGGAGGATATGAAATAAGTAAAGTCAAGTTCTGGCTTGATAAAAACAAATTATCATTAAATTTAAATAAATCTAAACTTATGTTATTTGGAAATAGTCGTTTAAATACAAATGCTGAGATTCAAATAAATGGTGTTGATATTGAAAGAGTCAGTGAAAATACATTTCTGGGGGTAATAACAGATGAAAAACTTAACTGAGAGCTCACGTAAGATATATTCATGCCAAAGTATCACGAAGCATTGCAGTACTAAACAAGGCAAAGCAGGTATTCGACAGAACATCACTTCATATTCTCTACTGTTCACTGGTTTCACCATACTTAAGCTATTGTGCAGAGGTCTGGGGCAACAGCTATAAAACATTACAGTCACTTTTTACTCTTCAAAAAAAGCAGTCGGAATCATCCACACTGCAGGTTACAGGAACATACAAACTCACTGTTTTTGCAGTAGGAAATATTGAAAATTGACGATCTAGTAAAATTCCAAACAGCACAAATTTTATTCAAAGCATAAAATAAAGAACTGCCAGGTAATATTCAGAGTATGTTTGTTTTAAAAGAAGCAAGTTATAATTTAACGGGTTTTTGTAACTTCAAAACAGGGAAGGTCCGTACTACAAGAAAAGGCTTTTGTGTTTCTGTTCATGGAGTGAAACTGTGGAACAGTCTGAATATGGAATTACAGCAACGTCCAAACACAAAACAGTTCAAAAAGAGTTGTAAAAATATGATCTTGAAATTATGTGAATGTCTCTATTAAAAGATGTACAGGATATAGTATATTAGAAATCTGTTCACCATTTTTATTACAAATTATATCAGTAAGGAAGCTGACTAAATATTGAATGATAATTTATGGCAAAGGGGTGGGATCAAATAAGTGTGTACTTCTTCCCTTTCAACGTGTAAATGAATCAGAATGGTAGCAATATTGAAATGTATTGATTTTTGTATAGTATTTTTTTCTCTCTCTTATTTTCTTTTCTAAATGTACCTGTATATTGTTTACATGTTTGAAATAAATTAACAAACAATCAATCAATGATTGGTGTAATCAATCAGGTGATCAGCTCAGCTTTCTGTAAACTGACAGCTCTGTGCATCGATGTATCTCAGGGTCACGAGTAAAACATGATGTTTTACCCAGTTAAAAAGACATCTGCTCATTTTGTTAGTATCAGTTCTCTGTAAGAGTCACTTTCAAGCAGAAATTCCAAATAACTTTTTTAAACAGTTTTCCAAATCAGTTTTCACACACCTGACCACGCTAGACCAACTTATTCATCTGTTCTTTAGAAAATGAGGAAATTATCCAGCACTTCTGACTTTAAAAGCCACTGATTTCTAAATTTTGCTGCGTTTCCTGCTAAAAAAAAAGGTTTTCAATAGGATTAAATACAGTCTATTTAAAAAAGACAATAAACTTCAGTTATTAAAGCGTTCTTTACAGGATAGATCATTAAAAAAGAGAGCAGAATCAACAACATGGATTTAAAGAAGCTCAAAGAAAAAACAGTAGATATCAATGTGGGGGAAATACTGGAAGAACCAACAAAAATATTCTTTGAAAGGAAAAAAAAACATGTGGTTATTTTTAGTAACTTAATACATTTAAAATGTTATTTTACAAACTCTTAAATTGTCACTTTAAATTACAAAGTTACAAATGAATTCATTTTGCTTTTTGTAAGTATCTTATAAATGCCAGCAGCTGCTGGAACATTTTAACCCTGAACTTTAGCTCCGTCAGGCAGCTAACTGTTAGCTCTGTACGAACTTGGCTAGCTGCTTTCTGGGTGGTTATTACTAATGAACAGACTCACCCGCAGCAAACAGGGTTTAAAAGTCCACAGACATAAATAGAAAGTCCCAAACAGCCTGTGTGGCTGTGTGTGGTCACAAAACCTTTGGCTTGGTGTTAAAAAGCAGTTTTGTTCTCAGCTGCAGCTAGCCGCGCTAACGGGCGCCTAAACTGAGTTACCTGGGCCGCCATGACTCTCTGTCTTTCCGCGATCAGTTTGCATTTGGGACACTGGCAGTCCCTCCAGTTGCAAAAGCGCTTGTGTCCCTTCAGTGGAGACACGTATCCGTGATTTCTACAGCGGGAGCACTTGGGCATCCTGGGGGATTTCTTGACTTTGGGGGACATCTGTCCGCTGCAATCCGGTACCTGCTTACTCTGCTTGTCCTGGCTCATGGGTCCTGGCAATAAGGTGTGCTGATAACTGTTGGACCTGCCCAGAGAAGACGTGTGCACACGGACAGGTCTGCTGCTGAGCCCAAGCAGAGGCTGGCTGATAAGATATGCACTGGTGCCAGGCTGGAGGCTGTAAGGTCCCTGTCCCTCCACACCCTGCTTTTTGGTTTTTTTCCCCAGAAGGCCTGGGATCCAGTGGGAGGAAACAATGCGGGGGAGAGAGCTGGAAGTACAGAAGCATCATTCTGCAGGCCTCCCGTTTTTCTCTCTCCAGACACGAGTTAAAAATATTGACTCAAAAACACAATTTAAAATTCAATACAATTCTTCTTATGAGGTGCAGGGACCAGAAAAGTGTCCTCAGAGGCCACCTGATGGCTTTGCAGAGTGAAAAAAGGCATACTCTTTGGACTTTAACTCAGTCTGTGCCAGCTTTGCAGTCTGAAGGACCAACGCGTGGGCCAAGTGGGTAACAGAAAATAACCATGACTCTGTATTATAATCTGAAGATTTAACTTAACTACGGTTCATGCCAATTATCCCCCAAATTAAATACAGGAAATTGTTCTGCCTGTCAAATTAAAATAACTATTACTATTAGTGTAATATTCTTTATAGTATCTTCCCACTGAAACATATTTATTGCAGTGTTTTTCCCACCTTGGCTGCTGGTGAATTAATTAATTGCTCAGCTTGACTGAGCTGAAACTGAGCTGACCTCCGCACCGTCAGTCAGCCCGGTGGATTTATAGACAGGGAGTGAGGTGAAGCTCAGAGGCAGCCAATTAAAATCCTTACAGCCAAACGGAGGGGGATAAAACAAAGTTGCCAATTAAAAAGCAGCCCCGAATCACTGAGTCAAAATAAATAGCTGCTACACTTCACTGGCTCAGGTCCTAAAGTAACTGAAAGCAGGGCTGCAACACTGAGTTTAATTGCCTCTAAAGGTTATAATGACAGATTATAATGCAGTGATAAAGTCTGCAGTTTAATGCAGGTAACATCTCCATTAGTCTGAATCCAGTCCAAGCAGGCCTGTAAAACACAGCAGACCAACATGGAAAACGTATGTGCCTATCATCCACCGCTTTATAATAAATATGAATAAATGCTGCCTCTCAGCAGCTCAGAGAGAGACACTTATTTTGAAATGATCATCAGTGTAAAATGAACAGTAGAGCCAATAAAAGCCAACTATGTAATCCAGCCCCCACAATGATTTATGCTTTAAACTGAGTATACCATGCAACAAGAAGTAGGTATGAAGTTGGCTTTGAATACCTGTAGTTAGGTCTCAGACCTTCTTTTTGCAATGGTCTGTAGAGGTTTGTTTGCATTGATGAAGCAGTGAAATGAAATGATGAATGGCCACGCAATAACGTTGTCTTTATATATTTAATTTACCTGGGTGGACACAAGGAGATGGCAAAACCAATTTGTGCTACTGAAAGTGAAAGCATATAAAGAGTTTCTTTCATTTTCGACACTTTAGTCTCTGAAATGTTTCTGAAGCTTTCCGTGTGTAGTTCAAATGCTGCTTCACTGTTATTATGTATTATATTGATATTTTCCCCCGTTGATACCTTTTAGCTACAATCATGAACTCAGTCTTCAATTTCTTTTGTACTCTCTATGCGCCAGTGTCTTTTTTCTTTTCTTTTCATTCTTATTTTCTATGCATTTAGTTCTATTTGTGATTGCACATTAACTGAATTTTAAGGGAAAATGATGGCATATTAAACAGAATGGAAATATATATTAGCTCTGCCACATTTAAAAGGCATGAAAGTATTTTATTCCAGTACGGTATGTATTAAATTGTTATCAAGAAAGTTTAAATCTCAGTCAATTCACAATCACGAATCAGGTTAAAGAAGAAGTCGTCACCGTTTCCGAGAAGTCACTGAAGGCAGCATTGCCTAGCAACGGTGCCGTTTAGTTTCTCGCGCCGGGCTATCGGCGGAAACTTTAGCTAACTTTCTGTGAGACACAATGCCCAGAAAGACGGAGAGAAAAGGCAGCGACAAACGAGATGGAAACAAGAAGACACCGAAAAAGGAAAACTCCGAGTTTCCTGCAGAGAAAAGCGGGTCTGCGGACAAAGAGAAGGACCTCTACCTGACACAGATAGCGTATTTAACCGACGAGCTGGAGCGGTGAGCCGTTTAAGTTTACCGTAATGTTTAGAGTGATTGTGTGTGCAGTAAAAAGCACTTTGTAATGATATCTTAAATATGTTTTATTTGCTAACTCGATCTAATGTTGCATTAGCATAATGGAGGCTGAATTTACAAAGCTTCATTGAAATGAACTGATTTTACAAGCTACAGTGAGACGCTTCATTCTTTGGTGCGCTCAGATAACAATGATCCCGGGGTTCCTTCATGAGGGGGTTTGAAAAGTGTGTTAATGCAGGTTCACATGAACAAAATACAACAAAACATTTACTACATGCTTCTTTCACATGCCATGTACTAGGATTTACTTATGAAAGTGACTTTTCATTTTTTTCTATCCAACATATTCACAAGTTTCTTCTCTTTTTAAGTGTCATCACAGCAGAGCATCGTCTCTAACATCCTCCTCTCCCACACTAGCTCTCCGTGGTCTTCCTGTTTTCTTCCTTGCAGCTCCTTCTTTAACATCCTCTGTCCAGTTTATATACCAACCCTCTGCACACGTCCAAACCATAAATCAGTATTTATACTGCATGAGAAAAATGCTAAAGGGAGACACTTGTAAGATTGTTTAGCAAACCAGCGTCATTAGTCAGAGAGTTTATTTGGAACAAGAAGCATCCCCGCATTCGCTTGTCTTTGTTGTATCTTCCCTTTGATACAGGGGGGTTGAAATGTCCCCAATTTTTACTGGTACTATCTGGCTATTCAACTAAGGACAATAATGTTTTATTTTTCATCCCAAAATACCCCATCTTGGGAGGGAAGGGAAGCAAATTCTCTTAAAATGCCATTAAACTTGTACTTATACTCTGCACAGCCAAAACAATTAAAGAAAGAAACAAATAATCCCATAGTCCAAAATATGATTGAAGTTTGGTTTACAATAAAAGAAATGATGAATATTAAGAATAATCTCTCTCAGGTTAGTCCTATTTGAGGAAATGCTTTATTTGCACCAGGAAATTTGGACGCAGGGTTCCAGGGTTGGGCAGAAAAAGGTGTTAGGAAAGTGGGTGATCTTTTTTGTGATGGAATAATGGTCTCATTTGAGGATTTAGTTTCAAAAGTATTTACAGATTAGAAGCTTCATTTCTTCCATGCAAAATCAGTCTCTCAACGTTCCCCAGTTAAGTAAGTTAGAGGAGTTAATGGTGGAAAAAGGTGGTAATAAAGGCTTAATTTCAACATTCTATAACTGGATTGTCTCTGTCTCGCCAGAAACATCAGCTTCTAAGTTAGAAGCTTGGAGAAAGGACCTAAATATTAATATTTCTGAGGAGACATGGAAGCCAATTTGCTTAAAATCACAAAAACAATCGATTAATAGTAACCTAAAGTTATTACAATATAATTGGATCATGCAAACATATGTAACACTGGTGAAATTGAACAAATATAATAACAGAATTCCAGATACATGTTTTAAATGTGGAGAAGCCCGTGGAACATTTTTCCGTTTTGGATGAGGGGAAAATTGTTTAGTCTGTGCTAGCTGTTTCTATTGTTTTTTTTGTTTTCTGTTTTTTCTCTTTTTTGTTTCCTTCAATATGTATAAATGTCACAAATGTACACATATTCTATGCGTTTTTTATTTGATGTAAGTTTGGAAGAGAGCAGGGTGGGAGGTGAGGGGGGGAGGGTTCCTATTACTGCAGCATATTACTGGGAAAACAGACCTTTGTATGCTGTTGCAAAAAGCAATAAAAATTTATTTAAAAAAGAAAAGAAAGTAAATTGCAGTGTGAGACTCATGTTTCTCACACTGCTTTGTGGTGACTTTGAAACTAACCAAGGTTCAAAAGAATATTAAAGTATTTCAGGCAAGTTGATTGTCTTGTGTCAGTAATTTTAGGTGCTTACTGTCAGAATTTTCTCAAAAGAAAAGAAAATTAAGTGTTGAAAGTGTCTGTTTGTTTTTCAAGTATTGGAAACTTGCTTTTTCTAAAATAAAAAAAAAGTTCATTTGGATTTGGTACATGTCACACTGGGAATATTTTTTAGAGTTTTCCATCTTATCTGTCAAAAACATTCACCTGATTTGGCCTGTTTTAAAGATATTTTGTATTTGAGAAGCTGGAAATAAAATATCACTCTCACACCTGCAAAACTGTGGTTTCTACAGGCCTCGAGACCTTCACATATTTATTTGTTTCAGGCATCCATCGGTCTGAGTGAGCTTGAGGTCACTCCTCAGACAGTGCATGCTCTGCTCGAGCTGTAGAGCTGCTTCAAATCCAGAAAAGGCCAGATGCAGTTTATAAATCGTTGAAGCTGTCATCCTTAACCCCTCAGACATCAGCTGAAATGTGATGACCTTGTGAGACAGAGGAAAGACTTGCTGACTCAGCGCAGCACACTGGAGCAGGAGAACAGAGACACGATCGCGTACCTGAAGCGTTCCCTGTTGGAGAAGGAGGACGAGGTGGGCGAGCTGTCGCAGCGGCTGCAGAACCAGCTGCAGGCTTCAGATCAGGAAAGAGACGCCCTGCAGCTGCGGCACAGCCGGGAGAGGCAGGAGCTTCAGAACCGCATCGATGAACTTATCAAAGAAAACACAGCACTCGGTAAAAGTTCAGCTCTTAGCATGTAGCCCATCAGAGTTTACCACAGGGTATCCACATAAACATCAAAGTGATGGTAGGGATTCGATTTTTAAAATAATAATAAGGATTTTTTTTTTTTAAATAAAAGATGAAATTTCTGGATCTTCCTCCCTTTTCAGTTCAGTTCATTTTTATTTCAAACATATGCTTTCACAATCATTACAAAATATCACTGCATTCTTTTGTTTGAACGTTTTACGTGTAACTAATCTTAATGGAATCTGGTCAAACGACTGGTATGAGTTCAGTTTATACCGAGACATATTTTCCTCAATAATCAATTATTTGAATAAATAAACCTTTGATTTTATACATTTCAGATGGATTTTACTCCAAAGTATTTGTTCATATTTATGAGGGCGGTGTGTGTCCCTGTCTGTGTAGCATTAATAAAGCTCTGTGGGGGAATCTTAAAGATTACATTATTTGGAATCTCGTGATATTTTAAATATGTTAAATTAAATATGTCTTTGCATTTCAGGAGAATATACATTTTCCATTTAACTTTCTGAAGCCTGTTCTTAAACATTAGTTTAATGTTGTATCATACCATGAAGTGTCTGCCACAAGAATTCAAATGTGGGAACTCAAAAGTTTTCCTTCCAATTAAAGCCTTTTTGTTTTGTCTCAAATATAGAAATTAATAATACTAAAATTTAAAAAAAGGTTTTACTTTTGGAAAGGCTGAAAAGAGCTGACAGTGATTTGCTGGAAGAGGCCTCGATCAGCCTCTCCCTGCCAAAGATGTTAAAAGGAGCTCAGCTTTATAGTATTCCTATATTTATAGTATTCCTATATTTATAGTATTCCTTGAAAATCCAGCCCAGATTTCTTTTGGATGCAAGTGTTTCCAGCAGGAACCATTAAACTTTCAGGAGGTTTATTTCAGCAAAGACTGGCTTCAGGGAATGATTTAAACTCTCCCCTTCTCTCCTCTAGCGGAGAGGTTTGCAAGCCTGGAGGCGTTTCAGGGGCAAAAGGAGGAGATGATGTCCAGCTTAGAGTCGCTGGAGAAGCAGCTGGCGAGTCAGAAGGAAGAGCACAAGGATGACATTCACAGCCTGGAGATGAAAGCGCTGCTGGAAAAGAGGAGGTGGAATCCACTTTAGTACATAAAAATCACAGCACAGACTCTTTTCATTACCCGGGTCGAGTCCACTCGTAGAAACTAGTTTAAGTTCAGACTGTAAACAAATCTGTGTCATCGCAGCAACTCGCAGCTTGTCTTCAGGACGACATGTTAATCCTGCCTCTGTAGCACTAATGTTTTTTCCTTTATGTGATCCTTGTCCCACCAAGGGTCGTGTTCCTTTGAAGCTCTGAACCTGCAGGCATAAATTTAAGGGCATAAAATAAGTTTTCTCTCACCCCAACCAATCGCAGCAGATGGCCCCGCCCCCCTCTGAGCCTGGTTCTGCTGGAGGTTTCTTCCTGTTAAAAGGGAGTTTTTCCTTCCCACTGTCGCCAAAGTGCTGCTCATACGGGGTCATATGATTGTTGGGTTTTTCTCTGTATCTACTGTACAATATAAAGCGCCTTGAGGCGACTTTTGTTGTGATTTGGTGCTGTATAAATAAAATTGAACTGAATTAAATATCTGGCTATATATGAGAACACTCACCTTATCTACTGCACAGCAAATACACAAATATCGTCAGTGTCTCCTCACAAGGCTGCATACCTGAATTATCCACCTAAAATACCCTCTGACTTTACCTTCTTTGTCTTGTGTCCTGCCAAAGATTGGAGAGGGAGAACGAGTCTCACGCTGCAGCCATGGCAGCAGAGGTGCAGCTCCTGGTGGACCAGAAAGTCCCGGAGACGACCAGGCTGGCGCTGCAGGAGAACGCGGAGGTGAAAGCTCGCGTGGGGCAGCTGTCGGAGCAGGTGCAGATCCTGATGGAGGAGAATGCTGCCCTGCGGGGCTGCAAGAGTCAGCTCAGCATGGATGTGGAAAACCTGGAAGAAATGCTCAGAGACACGTCACGCACCAGCTGCGTCCGTAAGAAGGTAAGAGAAGGAATTCTAAATGTCTTTAAGTTTAACTTAATATTTTAAATGCAGTGTAACCACAGTCATGCTTCACTGTCCACTCAGATTACAGCGGCTTCAAATAATCCACGTTTTATTTAGTTAAATCAAGGTTACTGAAAAGTGGACCAGCACTAGACAGTGTGCTCCCAGTGCCAGTCCCTTTCATCGTGTTTAACGCCAACGTCTTCTTAACGTGAAAAACAAGGGATTCACTCTAAATCCATATCCAACTCTCTCCATCAGGTGGTGGAGCAGCTCACAGAGAAGTGCCAGCAGCTGCAGGCGGAGCAGAAGGACTGCAGGCAGCGGCTCGAGCAGCTTCAGACCGAACACGCAGGAGCCCTGGGCAAGATGGAGGCGCTGAGGTCAAAGTTCACTCTGCCGTCCGTACAGATGAGTCTCACTCAGGTTCACGTTCACGTTAATGAAAGCAAAGCAGCAGGTGCAGTTATTACACATACGGGCTCGTAGTCTCATTTGTGGTACGTTTATATGCAAGCAATAACTCCACAGTAAGATTCATCAATAATAAGTAATCAAATAAATCAATAACAACAGAGACACAAAGGAGACAGACAGGAAACATAAAAGCACTGAATTGTGTTACTGGTAGCAGCTGATGGCTGGATGATGATGATGAGGCCTCCCTGAACGAGACAAGAAAACATCTCTTTTACTTATGATTGCTGGAAAATTCATGTATTAATATTTAAAAATAGAAAAATATTTGTGCATTCATTTTTGTTTTACTTCAATACAAAGACATAAACTAGTATTTTACATTAGTGCAGCAGAAATACAGAAATTTGTATTCAGAATGAAAATGAACCCAGGCAGTGCAGAGGTTTGAAGGGGCGGGGCTCAAAGTTAAAAAGGGAAGCGTTCAGCCTGGAACAACAACCCACACTCATCAAGAAACTAGTTTTACCTGATGGGTACAATGTTGTTGCTGACAGTGCTGGAGGGCGGGGCTGTGTGGATCTGAGACCGTAGACGGTAAAAAGTCCATTGGAGAGAATGTAGCTGATTAAACAGGTGAGATAATAATAAAATGCAAAGATTGGTGACAGTGCTTGGAATCATAAGGCAAAACACACACACACACACACACACTCCTCGTGCCTATGGTACGACAACTTTTCTCGTGCCTATGGTACACTGCGCAGGAGCACTTTGCCACACACACACACACACACACACACACACACACACACACACACACACACACACACACTCTCTCTCTCACTGTGTAAATATACTAAATGTAAGCCCTCCATAAAGGGAGGGAAAGCCCTGTAAAAATAAATATGTTCCATAAAACGGGGACAGCCCCACAGACCCAGGACAGCCTCACCCAGTTAGTTAGCAGCTACTACTTGTGCAGTTAATAAAAGGACAGGTGATGGTTGTCACGCGGTTTTACACACAGCACGCTCGTTTGTTTCAATTCGTCAGTTACCACAACACAACTGACCAACGTGTACACAACAAGCTAATACTCCTGCGTGCTGTAGAGCTCGTTCCTGACTCGTGACCAGCGCGCTCTGCTGTCAAGGGCGATCATTGGTTAATGGTCATCATGTGACTGATGCAACCCAGAGCCTGTTATTTAGCAACACTGTGATTAATAGTTAAATGTTAATGTGAGGGGCACAGGCAGGACTCCACACACACACACACACACTAAAAAAATGCCTCTAGAAAAGAGCACTTGTGGCTCCCATCAAGCAGGTACTCAAACAGGTGCCTGATATGAACATTAAATGCTCATTACTCACTGCTCTGCTACTTTTCTTATCAGCAAGGTCGCATTCTTCTCAGGCAGACGCAGATCTCTGCACAATGAAGCCTTGTTCATCACTGCAGACAAAGAAAGCGACGTTTGCAGCGGTCCCAGCTGCTGTCATCAGTGACTCGGAGTGCTCGCCTCCTTTTTTTCCACCTCAGTTGCTCCTCTGTGTTTCCAAGCCAAGAGCTCGAAAAATCCCTCTTTCACACATGCAGAGAAGAGACGCTGCAAGATAAGAGCAGCCTTGACCTGACGTGTTAACCACGGCCACACAAAACAGTGTCTGTGAAATATCGTACATTTAACTCCATAAATTATTATTTGTACATAGAAACACAACAGGAAACGTGTTCATTCAAAATGAATAATTCTTTACATGCAAAACTAGAAAAGTGTATTTTAGTTTAAAGGCTCAGATTCAGGCAGAAAACAGAAAGTTGTGCATCAGTTTGGAGTACTCACTGATATCGTTCATTATTTATTATTATTAGTTAAACATGTCAGGGTCAGCCTGTTATTATCATTTCTGCCATATATGCACTGTTCAGGACAAACCTGTTTGAAAGAGGCAACCAATCAGAAGAAAGGTGGCTTAAATGCAGAGGATGAAGAAGAGTAAGGATTGTTTTGAAGTTGAAAAATAAATTATATGGAGTAGAAAGAGATCTTTTCCTTAAAGGGGAGAAATTGTTTCACTTTGAGGAAAAGCTGAAGAGTCTCCTGTGATCTCACCCTGGGTCAGCACACCTGAATCACATGATTAGGTCATTACCAGGCCTCTGGAGAACTTCAGGACAGGTTGAGGAGGTCATTTAGCCATTTAGATCAGCTGTGTTGGATCGAGGACACATCTAAAACACATTCCCACTCCTGCTCTGAACTATGATGGCAGGTAACTCAGGGTGGCATAACATTTGCTCAGGGGGCATCCGGATTTGAACCGGAGACCTCTTGAGCTGCAGTCAAACGCTCTACCACTGAGCTATACCCCCTCTGCTTGTGCTTTCAGGCAGAATCAGGCCTCTCTATCTGAACAGTGCAGTAAAAACAGAGCTCAGGTCAGTCAGCTGGAGGCGGAGCTTCAACAGGAGAGGAGGAGGAGGAGGAGCAGGATGAAGAACATCATTCAGGAAGCTGCTGTTGCTCTCAGACAAGCACTGATGGTAAGATGACAGCGACATCATTTCAAAGTAAAAGTCTGAAACCTTCAGCTAACACAGAACACACGAGGTATTCGCCTCATCAACGTTTTATGTTTTAGAATACAGAAATGGAAAAAAAGATTTGTGACAAGGTGGAATTTATCTGTAAAAGACAAAGTTGTTGCAAGAAAACTGAATTCATTTTATTTCTCTGTCGATGACGATGGTTCCATGCTCCAGTGAAGAAGGTGAGGTCTTTATCTCAGCCAATCAGACTGTTTCAGTCTTGTTTTCACCTGCAGCAGGACTCAGAGGTGGACCAGTGGAAGCAGCTGATGCAGAGGATGCTGGTGCTTTTAAGCAGAGACGGATTTGCCAGCTCCGCTGCTGACAGCGGCAAAGTGAACGAGCTGCAGACGGCTGACTCTGCAGCAGCCCGGTAATAAATCAGTGCTCGCTAAGATGGTCTGCAAATACCTGACAGGTTGATGACTGACAGAAATCCTGCATCTTTATCGTCTGTGTAGAACAAGGAGTCTGGATCCAGATTGGAGTTTCCAGTTCCAGCTGGCCCGCTACAGGCCGGGAGATCTGGGTTTTGTGCCTCGCCCCGCGCTGAAACACAAAAACGTGCTCCCCAGGATGGAAGCTGGCTCCAGCAGGTTTGTGAGGAGCTCAGAGCTCAGCTTCAGGGTCTGCAGGGGGATGTCTGATCACAGCTACAGCTGCAGTTATTATATGATATAGCTGTTTACAACTACCATTTAAACTCTCCATTCCTTCATCAGTTTAGATATCAGGCAGACAACATCCTCCTATTTAAGTAGTTCAGTTCATAGACTGTATGTGAAAGAGGGACAGAGCCTCAGTGTTGGTGTTGTAGCCTTCGCTGTGTTAAAGCAATGAGAGGTTGTTGTGCTGACTTATCTTCTCCCCACAGCAAACTGCATCCATAAACTGTTGAACAAACAGAAACACGTAATCTGAGTATCACACTGATAAATATTAAAGAAAAGCAGGTTGTTCCAAATGGCACAATCATGGAGGCGTAGCAGGGCGACTGGTGTCAGCATCCACCTGTCAGTGAAGCCTCATCAAAATAAACTAGTTATTAAAAACATGTTTTAAATGCCGTAAAGTTGAGACTGACTCAGTGATGGAGAGAGGTGGCCACTGAAGCAGTTTGACATTGCTGCTCTGGAGCTTTCCCTTTGTTAGCTTTAAGTGTTTTATGTCACCTGACTTTCTTCTTCTTCTGTTTTTCTTATATCCAGGAAACCGTCGAGTCTGAAGGCGGACAGCTCTGTGAAGCTCACCGATCCAGCTGTGACCTCCAAACAGAACAAACTCAAGTGACAGTAACAAAACTCATCTCCTAAAAACTGTCGATTATGTTGCAGTTCAGTCTGACATCGACTGAGACTCCTGTGAGCTCAGCCTGTTACAGTAAAGGTGACGCCTCTGTAACAAACTCTAATAATGTTCCTGCTGTGATGAAAACAGCTTGTCTGTTATTGTGCAGTGAAACAGGAAACATGTTATAAATGTTGTTTATCACAGTCTTCATGATTCTGCTTGGCTGTTGTTACAGAATGCTGAAAGTTACTGAGTGAAGATCAGCACTTTGGGTTCTGGGAAGCTGCAGCACACACTCCTCAGCATTTCATAGATTTGCATATTGAGACAATAGATGAAAGTACCAACGATCATCTCTACAGCAGAGAGACTGGAGGGCACACTGAGAATTGAACCAGAGACCTCTTGATCTGCAGTCAAACGCTCTGCCACTGAGCTACACCCCCATGTGGTGGAATTTAATCATCGGCTGCACAGCATGTGACAAAAAAACTGAATTAAAAAAAATAAAGTGGCAGAATCAGGTTTTAGATATCAGCTTTACATATATATATATATATATATATATATATATATATATGTGTATATATATATATATGCTGACGGACAGGAAGCAGCACGTGAGGCTGGGAAAGAATGTCTCGGACTCCCGGACCATCAGCACCGGCTCCCCTCAGGGCTGTGTTCTTTCTCCTCTGCTCTTCTCCCTGTACACCAACTGCTGCACCTCCACCCACCAGTCTGTCAAGCTAATCAAGTTTGCAGATGACACCACCGTTATTGGACTCATCTCGGACGGGGACGAGTCTGCCTACAGGAGGGAGGTTGAATGTCTGGTGTCCTGGTGCAGCCACAACAACCTGGTGCTGAATGCCCAGAAGACAGTGGAGATTATTGTGGACTTCAGGAAGCACACAGCCCCACTCCCCCCATCATCCTGACTGACACCCCCATCACCTCTGTGGACTCATTCCGCTTCCTGGGTACCACCATCACCCAGGACCTGAAGTGGGAGCCCACCATCACCTCCGTCATCAAGAAAGCCCAGCAGAGGATGTACTTCCTGAGGCAGCTGAAGAAATTCAACCTGCCAACACGGACGATGATGCAATTCTACACTGCAATCATCGAGTCCATCCTCACCTCCTCCATCACCGTGTGGTACGCTGGAGCCACTATCAGGGACAAACAGAGACTGCAGCGTGTTGTGCGCTCTGCTGAGAAGGTGATTGGCTGCAGACTCCCATCTTTGCAGGACCTGTACACCTCCAGGACACTGCGGCATGCAGCTCGGATCTCAGCTGACCCTTCTCACCCTGGACACAGTCTGTTTGACCTGCTCCCCTCAGGCAGGAGGCTCCGGTCCATTCGCACCAGAACCTCTCGCCACAAGAACAGTTTCTTCCCCTCTGCTGTTGGACACATGAACAATAACCACATGACTGTACCCACCACTAACACATGACCCTACGCTGTGTCACTGCATCATTCCATCTTTGGCACTGATCACCACCTGCACTCATGTATATATCTTTCAACGTAGCACTTTTAATTCTTATCCCTACTTTTATTTTTTCCATGTCTATTTAAGTGCTATTTATGACACTATGTTTGCACTGAAGCACCGCAGCAATTTCCTAATGTTGTAAACCTGCTCAACATTTGGCAATAAACCCCTTTCTGATTCTGATTCTTATATATATTCTTATATATATATATTATATATATATATATATACATCTAGTCAGTTAACTGAAAATCTGTTTTTTCTTTTACTACATCTTATTAATATTTTGCTCTTTACTATTTTTCTATTAATTTTTTATTATTTTATTTTATTTTATTTGCTGCTGACTGTCTTCTGCTCGTCAAACACATGTCATTGCGATGTTGGACCTGTGCTAACTTGCATATGACAAATAAACCGAGACCTGTGCTGGATCCTCGGTGTGCTCCGCTCAGCGGGGACAGACTGAAGTGTTTCAGTTGTTTTTACGTTAAATTTCAACTCTGAGCAGAACAAATCATCTGATTAGAAACACGTTTAAAAGTAAAGCATTAAGAAGTTTCTGCATGAAGCGGCTGTGCTGACATCGATGGATCAACGCTGATCCGGTGACTCTAACACGTTAAAAGGATTATTTTGATCGATCCGGATCGATGGGTGAGTATCGGCTGATCACACTGTCAGCTGGTTTTTATCACAGAAACTGAGCAGGACGCAGTTTTCTGATGTTTCTTTTAATAAACTGACAGAAATGTAGAAACTTTCAGTTTTCAGGTAAAATCAGATTAACTCCAGCTGCTGAAGCGGAAACAGACGGAAGTGAACAGACCGACCGCACAAAGCTTTTTATTATCACTGTTTGATTTCAGAGCGATCCCAGTCTGACTCTGATGGTACACACTTAGATAACGTTAGTGTTTGTTTGTTTGTTTGTTTGTTTGTTCGTTCGTGTTAACCGTCACATTCGTAATCATTGCTCATCCGCCATGTTGGATTTGGGCGGCCTTCAGCAGAGAGCTACACAGGTGTGTTTAAGCAGGAAGCTCCATGTTTAACGCTTCACAAGTGCTCGATGTCCTCGTGGATAAAACTACTTCCTTTTGTCCTTGTTCTAATCACTCATTTTATCTTTATACGTTTTTCTCTGTTGTGGTTGAACTGAAACTGTTTTAAATGTGATGAGATTTGATCTTCTTAATTATCCCGTTTGTTCTTTGAGTTTCAATCTTCATTTATTTATTTATTTATTGTTCTTTCACTGACAGCATTTCTGGGATGTTGTTGCTGATCATCTCTGATCTGATATCTTTGAGGCTTTTTGTTGCCATGTTTCAATATTCTAGTTCATGTTTTATCATTTTCAATTTTATTTTTATACCATTAAATCACAACAACAGTTAATGTGCTTTATATTGTAAAGTAAAGAGTTTCTCATCAGCACTCATCACACTCTTATATTATTAGTTACATTTAACAGATCATAAGTTTCAGTGCAACAGACGCTTGGATAAAAACATTCTCTTCCTGTATATTTGCTGCAACATTATATGTTGGAAACTGGTTTTTCCCACTTTCTCCTTCACTGTCAACAAAGAAATTTCATCACTGTGGGAATTTGACACAGTTTAGGTTTTTGTGTAACTGTTTTTCTTTTATATTCACAGAGGTGCCTCAGCAGCGAACAAGCAGCTATGGTCATATTCCCCCCAACAGTAAGTTAATCGTGACTCAAATATAAACTGTTGGGCCAAAAAAGTCACACTGTAATATTTCTTTGGACTAACTTTGATATGCTACATATTCATTGTGATATTATTTCTATTTCTATAACCTTATGCAGCATCACAGTATTATTTCCATCCACAGCTTTTCGCCCAGTTTAATAATAATGTATACTTTATTGATCCCCGTGGCACCCAGGGAGCTGTGTGCTTGCTCAAGGGTGCCTCAGTGGATTCAAACCCCAGCCTTCCGATCATGGGGCGACCCCTCTACCTACTGAGCTGTCCCTGCCCCAGTTGTGCATCTTGCTGATGGGAAAGTCTAACATCACCTCCCAAAGATTCTCAGTAGAGTTAATGTCTAGACCAGGGGTCTGCAACCTTTAACACCCAAAGAGCCATTTGGAGCAGGTTTCCACGCAAAAGAAAACACTGAGCCGCAAATACTTTTTGACATCCAAAATGAAGATAACACTGTATATATTGTTTTTACCTTTATGCTTTGTGTGAACAACTAAGGTGTGTTGCTTATGAAATCCATGAAGTGCTACAGAGAAAATGACATTTTATTTATGTAATTAACACATTTTGAACTCTTAAAGAAATATAACAAAAGGAAAGACACCAACCTGAACTAAAATGATCCAGCAAACAAAAACTGCTGTGAGCCACCCTTATATCGCCTTTGGGCTTTTGGAGCCTTGACCTGACTTTTAAAAAGTAATTGGAAAAAAAAGCACTATGTTGCTAAAAAAATTTTTTTTTGCAAAATTCTGCCTAAATATGTATTTTACCTGGTTAATGTGTGTGGCGGGGCGTGGTCTGCAGCACCGCTGCAGGGGAGTCGCACGCACCTCGCCACCTTAACGTCTGTGCTCTCTATGCTGTTGTGTTGGTGTGTGTCGGGCTGTGAGCTGCAAAGCTACAACCGGCTGTGTGCGTACAGCAACCGTGTGTGAAAAGTGGTCAATAAAGAGATGCTGAAAAGCGTGTTCATGCAAACATCGTCGGGTCTGCCGTGATATGTTTACATGGTCCCGAACCTCTGCGCACAGCGAAGTCACTTTCATCTTTACGCAGGACTGTAAGCTGTCGTCTGTGAGGTGTGAGCGCTGTTTGTTTTAACATAGTTCACAGTGGAGCTGCTGACATAATGTGGATCCGAAATTGGCCTACATGGGGTCGAAAGTGTCGATAAATGCACGGCGTTTCGGCGGCTACACCGGCTTCCGCGAGTGTGACGCTTATTTTGAGCGATGAAAAAAATAATAAAATATAATTTTATATTTATATTTCAATATCACAATAATCTTCCAATTTAGAACTACAAGTTAAAAAAGTAACATAAATAAAATGCACTTCAGCTAAATACTTTAAAAAAACTCATTTATTTTCCCAAACCACACCGAGCCGCACTAAAAGGACCAAAGAGCCGCAGGTTGCCGACCCCTGGTCTAGACTCTGGGGCCAATCCATGTGTGAAAATAATGTTTCATGATCCCTGATTTCACAATCTGAGTCAGAAAATATCCACTGATGGAAAAAACTTGACAATCCAGTATATTCAGTCAGCTGTCATCTTTGTTTTGGATGACATAACACGACAGACTCTCAGGCACTGGTTTGGCTCAGTGCGTTGAGTGGGCGACCATGTACCAAACGGCTGAGAGCAGCCGGCCTGGGTTCCTCTCAGCCGTTTGGTACATGGGTTAGGGTTCTCCTTGGCGTTTTCATCTGGTTCATACGTCTCGATGATTCTGTGCGTTAGGGTTAACCCATGTACCACGGGTTCTAGTCCAACCCGTGGCCATTTGCCGCATGTCTGCCCCTCTGTCGCTGTCCTGTCCTTTCTTCATTGCGAAATAAAGCTGAAAAAGGCTAAAAATAAAATAAAAATGAAACTATTATTAAAAAAACAACACTACAGAACCTGGACCTGACCAACTGGAGCAACTCCAGGTCACATCCTGATAACTAGACATGATGTATGCATCACTTTTCCAGTGTTTCTGCTCCCAATCAAACTGAAACATTTTCTGCAGATTAATTTCACTGATCAGTGTTTTTCTTAGTTACACAGATGTTTAGTGCCAATTCCACGAGTTTCTTTCTATTGTGTGTTTGAATGTTAACTTTAATTATAAATTATTTTTTAATTGCCTCAAAGCACTGTTGATTTGTATGGGTCTTTATGTTTCCATCTTTTATGTGAAGCACATGGAGTTTGCATGTAATGAATTATACTGTATACACATAGTTGGCATGACATTTTTAACATTTGCAAATTAATATATATTTTATGGGTATTAATGTTTTTCTGGAGAAGATTCCTCAAACTATTTATCATATGTTTCCTCTCTGATGATCAGCAAACATGATTTTAAGACAATAAACATCTTAGAGTGACCCTGGCTCTGTTTTTGTTGACTCCCTGTTGTCGTTGTGTTTTGATGCCAGTGTCTGAGCTGAGGGTTGTCCTGCTGGGGAACAGCTGGTCTCAGAGGAGAGTCGTGGGGAACTTCATACTGGGAGGGGCCGTGTTCAGCACTGAGGAACCAGACTGCTGTGTGAGGGTCAGCGGGCGGTGCAGGTGGAAAGAAATCGTACTGATCAACACTCCAGATCTGCTGCATCCAAACATCTCTGAGGACAAACTGACAGAGTTGATAGAAACCTGTGTGAGGCTCTCTGATCCTGGACCTCATGTGTTCCTGCTGGTTCTACAGCCTGAAGACTTCACTGAGGAGCAAAGACTGAGGCTGCAAACAGTCCTGCGAGACTTTGGTGATCAGTCATTTGAACACTCGCTGGTCCTGATATCAACACCTACAGAGGAACAATTAGCTTCCAGTGAAAGTTATATGGAAGATCCCCCATTAAAGGACATGATGAAAATGTGTAGATTCAGATATGTGAAGCAGAAGAACCTTGAACCTCTGGAACTGTGGACACGTTTAGGTCAGATTGTGAAAGAAAACAATGGAGAACATGTGAGCTGTGATTTATCTGAAACTGGAGCAGATGGTTTTCATCAAACCCTGAAACATCAGCTGTCAGTGCCTGCAAACATGGATCCTGCTCGAGCTGCTGGTGAGTTCAGGAAAACATTTTATTACTTTTAAATGTTTGTTGGGTCTCTCTGTACTCTGAGCTCTTCTGCTGGCAGGAGGACAAAATATAAATAAGTTCAGTAAGTCCCATATTTAAAAACACTATAGAAATAAAAATAAATTAATTAATAACAACTAGGGACACAATGCCATGAAATCAGTAATTTGTTGAAGGCCCTGCCACATGCGTCGGAAATCTGAGCTGTTGTAGTGTCCTTCCAGCTTCGGTCTGTATTGCCTCTTGGCTTCCCTGATGGATCTACGCAGGTCTTATTTTGTCCCCCACAGCATCACCAGAGGCAAATGCAGTGGAGCGTGCATGTAGCATGGAAGGTACCTCAGAGTTCAACCATGGTTTCTGATTTGGATATGTTTGTAGTACTCGGTGGGGACAATATCAGTGCATGTGCTGATGTAGCTGGTAACCACTGATGCATATTCCTCTAAATCCACAGAACTCTCCTCTCTTACGCCAGCGGTCTTAAACACACCCCAGTTTGTAACATCAAAGCAGTCCTGAAGCACCAAATCAGATCTCTTCGCTCCAAACGTTAGTAATTTTAGCGTGTGAATGTGTGTGTGAATGTGTGTGTGAATGTGTGTGTGAATGGGTGGATGACTGAATGTAGTGACTAAGTAAAGCGCTATACAAATACAGGCCATTTACCATTTTTCACTGGGGGGGCTCGTTTGAGGAGCTGCCTGTATGCTGGACAGAGGAACACAGAAATGTGGTCGGACTGTCCAGAGTGCGGGCGAGGCACTGCCTTGTTTGCCTCCCTTACGTTGCTGTAGATGTGATGTTCCCACATATTGATGGAACCTCATGAGCACAGTCCTGAGGTTGCAGTGATTAAAATCCGCGGCAACAAACACGGCGTCTGTGTGAGCGCTCTCGTGTTTGCTGATGTGTGTCTGTAACTGTACTGCCTAGTCTAGTGAGCTTCCCGTAGTCCAGGTTTCCGTAAAAATCAGAGCACAGCACTCTCTGATCTCATGTTGAGATGTTATCCTGGTTCTCAGCTCATCCATGTTGTTTTCGAGAGAGCAGACGTTGGCTAACAAAAGGCTAGAGGTGGTCGTGTGGCTCTAGCCTTTAGTCTAGCATGTAGCCCACCTCTCTTGCCACGCCTCCGTCTTGGATGCGCTGGTCGACGGCCACTCTGAGTAGTTGAGAATAATCTTTAAAAGTTGTTGAGATATTCATGTTCAAACATTGCCTCAGATTTCAATGTGCAGGACTAAATCAGACATGAAGGTCAGATTGATAGGCATCTGAAAACTATTTGATATATGAAGCTAAAATTACACATCAATCATTTTCTATCTGCAAACTTTGGATCATAAAGCTTAAAGCAAATTGGAGATGGTCAAGCAGGATAAATGAAAATTTACTGATTTGAGGAGGAATGATCCTTAACTTCTCTTTGGACTTTGGAATTAACTCAAAAAGTAACACATGGAATGTAGAATAAGGTCGGGTACGGCATGAAGTCCAGCTCAGCCATGATACCTTCAGATCAGCTCATTTCAATATCAGCCCACGTCATCTGATTTCTCAGCCAATATCTTCACATATATACAAATAAAACCCTGATTCCAAAATAGTTGGAGCGCTGAGTGCAATGTAAATAAAAACTCAATACAGTGATTTACAGATTTCATAAACACATTTATTTTCCAATATAAGGCACCTCTGGCACAACTGCCAGACTTGTATAGGATCAGCGACCCCCCCGGCCATTAGGTCCCCCTTCATCCTTTTTTATGGCCAAAGTGAGTCAGAAAGTCTGCAAACCAGCAGTTAGCACTTAATCAGTTCGACAGGTGTGGGTGTGCATGCCAGACGTGAACTGCTATCTATGTTGAGTAGGGCTGCCACGATTAGTCGACTATCAAAATTGTCGACGACTGATTTAATAGTCGACGCGTCGTTTGAAGCTTTGTAAGATCCCAAAAGACGCAGGAATAAGTAGCAGGATTTAAGAGTGTAATAACGGACTGAAACAGAAGATGGCAGCACTGCATGTACAAGGATGCCAGCTGCCGTTAAACCCCGAAGAAGAAGAAGAAGCAGCAGTGTCCCAGAATTCATAGCGCAGTTTCCAACAATGGCGGCAGCTAGCTAGTTTTAATATTACTCTTAGTATTCTTTCTGGGTCACAAAATAAACGTTTAACATATTTTCAGGCGAGAATGTAGCTGTGTAAACCTCAAATATCTGCTCAGTTTATCAGGACACCACATATTTTCAAAAGCGCTCCGACGTTTTCGGAGACGTCTGTTACCCACTAGCTCGATAGCTAGCCGGGGGCGAGGCTAACTAGAGCCGTGAGAACACCGGACTCCCGGCTAATCGTTTTCAAACCCACCGCCGTCTTTCGCTACTCAGGTTAAATATATATGAGTCACTTAGATAACTTAACAATGTTATTGTTTGGCTTTTTTAGTATTTTATTTGTTCCTGAGTAAATCAGTTTGTCTGAGATTAAAGTTATAGTTTTTACACAGCTGAATAAACGTCAAGCAGACAGCTGATTATCAGAAGTGTGAGATGCTGGAGAATTTACTCTGGTGTCCTGTTATATTTTAGATAGCAAGGAGTTTATTAAACTTCACCGAAACAATCTGCAAACTTCATTAAAATTTAATAAACTATCATCTTGTCTTTATTTTTAGTTAGCACCTTAAACACTTAAAGCTGTAAGCTAATGATAGTTATATAAGAGCAGATGCTGCTGGTGCAATAAGCTGTACGTTTTATGTTCAATGGATGATGATCTGATTAGTCGACTAATCGCAAAAATAATCGGTGACTAGTCGACTATCAGAATAATCGTTTGTGGCAGCCCTACTGCTGAGTAAGGGTTTTTCTCCCCTCACCTGTGTCTGCTCCGGGGTCCACCTCACTCTCTCCACTCGGTCTGTCCCGCGGACTGTAACAGTTACTTATTGATCCTAATCATTACATTTTCATACAGTATTGAGAAGCATGTGTTATACAAAAAGTGGTACAATATCTTTCATTAATATATAATGATAGATATATTTGACCTATATGCATCATGTGATTTAAACATGCAGGTTAAATGCTTAACACAGTGACTCCACTATATAAACACTCCACTGTAAGTGTGGACAGTATATATGGATATACAGTCAAGCCTATAATTATTTATATTATTTATACCCCTGGCAAATTTTTATTTAAAGTTAATTTTCTTCAACCAGCAAGTTTTTTTGTTCTGTTTTTTTTTTTTTTGACAGGAAATGAAACAGGAGTCTCCCAAAAGATAATATCACACAAACCACTTTGCAACCCACCTCCAGTAAAGTCACGTGTTGTTATTAATACATCGTCCTTCTGTGCTGGGCTCTTGCTTCTGTGTCCCCCGAGTGTGAAATGATGGGGAGATCTGCAAACAGACACATACAGCGAAATTAAAATAAGTTCAGATGGAAAAATCAGTCTTGTTTTGACTGATGTATGAGTAATGTGGTTCAGTCCAACAGAAGTGCTCAGAAGCAGAAAAACTGAATCCTCTTTTATACACGTTACTTATATAATAATAAGCGTCACCTCCAGTAAATGTTTTGCAGTTTGGACTTCAGTATCGATGCTCCGTGTTTCTCATATTTTCATCATACTGTGGGCAAAATTTCTCATTTATGCATTTAATAATCTGCCACTGCCATGTTTAAAGTTTACAAGTGAAACTTATTATAAGAAGTCATCCCCAGTTTAGTTTTTCAAAAGTGTTTTAATTACTGATTATTTATTTGATTATTGATATATTGAGATGTATCATGTTAAGACGCTGATGAGCGCATCACTAAACTCTTCTTATTCCTTGTTGTTTGGCAGCTCGTGGACTCAGGATTGTGCTGTTTGGGAAAAACGAGGAAGAAAAGACGACACTTGGAAACTTCATCACAAAGAAAAATTCTTTTCAGTTCAGAAATATTTCTCCAGCTAAACACTGTGAAGATGCTGGTGGAGTGTGGAAAGAAAAACCAGTAACAGTGGTGAAAACTCCCGACATGTTCAGTCTGTCTGTGCAGGGAGTGAGAGAGGAGATGAAGAGCTGTGTGAGTCTCTGTCCTCCTGGACCAAATGTTCTGCTGCTGTTGGTCAAACCTTCTGATTTCACTGAGGAGAACAGAAAAACTCTGAAGTTCATCCTGAGTTTGTTTGGAGAAGATTCCTTTAAACACTCGATGATCATCAGCACGTACAGACATCAGTGGAAAGAAACAAGCGCCTCTGTGAACAAGCTCCTTCAGGACTGTGATGGAAGACACTACAACATGTTTACCAATGAGCACAAAGTGTTAATGGAGAAGATTGAAGACATGCTGCAAGAAAACAAAGAAAGCTTCCTCATCCTCACTGCAGAGAAGACAAAGCAAGAAAAACAAGAGGACTGGGAGAGGAAAGAAAAAGAGTGGCAGGAAAATCAGTCCAGGGAAATTGAAAGAATACGTCAGGAGGAGGAAGAAAAGCAGAAAAAGCTCCAAGAAGAGTTTAAGCAGGAAAGAGAAAAATATGAAATAACAAGAAAAGAAAATCAAATCAGACGAGAGCTGGAAGAAAAAGAACAGAATGAATTAGAGGACAATTACAAGAGAAAAATGGAGGACATGAGGAAGAAATATGAAGAGGAGGCCAGAAAACAAACAGAAGAATTTAATAATTTTACAATTAAATATACGACAGACCTTGAAGCTCTAAATTCAAAACTTGTGCAACAGCATGAAGAAGAAATGCAGCAGAAAGAGGAAGCACACAGAAAAGAGTTTAACCTGTTACAGAAAAGCTGGAACCAGAAAGAAAAGGAACTAAAAGAAGACCTGATGAGAACACAAACACAACTGCAACAAGAAATTAATGAAAATAAAAAACAGATAGCAGCCATAGATACAGTGGTGAAGAAGAGCATGAGGGAGGAAGTTTCCAGTGAGGAAACATCGGTTTCACTGCCAGTTCCTCGTGTCAAACGTTGTGGTAAGTACAGCTTTTTTTAGCTGGTATTTTTAAAACCTTTACATAAGTTTGACATTCTTGTTTGAAAGTCTTGAGTTTTGATTTCTTCTTCATACGAGTCACCTGGATCACACTTAGTCTGGCCCCTCAGCCAGAACCAGTTTAAGGCTGTGGCTGCCAGCTTCTCTCTAACCTAAAAACGAGTAAAGTGAGTAAAAGTCAGCTGATCTGAATAATCATTGAGACTGAACATGAGGAACATGCAGGTTTGTGGAATTCAAGAAATCAAAGCTCAAATGCAAGACTGAGGGGCCCGGTCATTAACAGTTCACACTGTGAAATGAAATGTAAAAAAATGATGTATGTATGAAGGTTATTAACCAGTTTAAGTTTTTAATATATTACAGCACGTGAACTCAGGATAATGCTGTTTGGAAAAAGTAATGACAAGAAATCAGCCCTGGAAAAGCTCCTCGTTGGGAAAAAAAGAGTCTGAAGGTTTTGAAGGAAAGCAATCTGGTGCTGCCTCTGGAGAGAGGAACAGGAAACCTCCCACAGTTGTAAAAACTCCCGACATCTTCAGTCTGCCTGTGAATGAGCTGTTTATAGTGATGAAGAGCTGTGTGAGTCTCTGTCCTCCTGGACCAAACGTTCTGCTGCTGTTAGTCAAACCTTCTGATTTCACTGAGGAGAACAGACAGACTCTGAATTTGGTCCTGAGCTTGTTTGGTCGAGATGCTTTTAATCACGCCATCGTCATCCGAACGCATAACGAGGAAGGGAATAAGTCAGTGGATAAACTCATTGAAGAATCCAAACAAAGGCAGCACTTCGTTAATTTTGACAGGAAAGAGTCCTTCTCAGATTCCTCAGAGTTGATGGAAGAAATGAATAAGATGGTGACTAAAAACTGGGGAAAATATCTCATATTAAAAGAAGAGGCTAAACCCAATCTGAAGTCCAGTCTGAACCTGGTTCTGTGTGGGAGGAGAGGAGCAGGGAAGACGTCAGCAGCCAAGGCCATTTTAGGTCAGACTGAGCTTCATTCAGCCTCCAACTCATCAGAGTGTGTTAAACATCAGAGAGAGGTGTGTGGACGTTGGGTTTCCCTGGTGGAGCTGCCTGCCTTGTATGGAAAACCTCAGGAGGCAGTGATGGAGGAATCACTCAGGTGTATCTCCCTCTGTGATCCTGAGGGTGTCCATGCCTTCATCCTGGTCCTACCTGTGGCTCCCCTCACTGATGAAGACAAGGCAGAGTTAGAGACCATCCAGGATGCATTCGGCTCTCGAGTCAATGACTTCACCATGATTCTGTTCACTGTGGACTCAGATCCTACAGCTCCAGCTGTTGTGAACTTTGTAATGGAAGACAAGCATATCCATGATCTCTGTGAGAGCTGTGGAGGAAGATTTGTTGTTCTCAACATTAAGGACAAACAGCAGATCCCAGAGATGTTTGAGATTGTGGATAAAATTAGTCAGCCTACAGGACAACTGTGCTGTTATACAACTACAACATTTTTACACGCACAAATGGAGAAAGTCTTAAAACTTGTCACTGGTAAGCAGTTTAGATTGTGATATTTTCCAATGACCCAGAGTTTTAATCCAGTGTACAAGTCTTAACTTGTTCTTGTTTTCATGTTTTAGGTGATGAAGGTGGAGAACAGGGCTCAGACTGTCTCAGGATTGTGCTGATTGGGAAGACCGGCTGTGGAAAGAGCTCTACAGGAAACACCATTTTAGGAAGAGACGAGTTTACAGCTAAATCAAGTCAAATGTATGTCACACAATATTGTAAGAAGGCAGAGGGTGAGGTGGACGGTCGTCCTGTTGTTGTGGTCGACACTCCTGGTCTGTTTGACACAAGTTTGTCCAATGAAGAAATTCAAGAGGAGATGGTGAAATGTGTCAGTCTCCTGGCTCCAGGACCGCATGTCTTCTTGTTGGTGATACAGATCGGCAGGTTCACAGCAGAGGAGAAGGCGACGCTGAAACTCATCAAGAAATTCTTTGGGAAGAATTCAGAAAACTTCACCATCATTCTTTTAACCAGAGGAGACGATCTGGAACGTATGGGAGAGTCTATTGATGATTACATCAAGAACAAATGTCACAGTTCCTTTAAGAAACTGATCTCTGACTGTGGAGGAAGATACCATGTGTTCAATAACTATGATAAGCAAAACCGCACACAAGTCAGTGAGCTGATAAAAAAGATTGACACCATGGTGAAGGACAATGGAAGATGCTGCTTCACCAATAAGATGCTGAGGATCCTGAAGGAGAAGGAAGAAGAGATGCAGAAGGAAAAGGAAGAGATCGAAAGAAAACATAAGCAAGAAATGAAAGCAATGAAAATAAGAATGGCAGAAGAGAGAGAAAAATCAGAAAATGAGAGAAAACAGAAAGCTGAAGAACTCGAGGAAATGATGAACAAAATTAAGGAAGAACAAGAGAAGAAGAAAAAAGAAGAAGAAATGAGAGAAAAGGAGGAAAAGGAAAAGGACACTGGAGAAGAAAGATATCGACAACAATTCAAAGAAGAACTTGAAAAGTTGGACAGACAAATTCATTTGGAAAAAGAAGCAAAGGAAAATGTTGACAGACATCTGGAAGAGACCAGAGAAGAGATGCAACGAAAACAAGAAGCCTGGGAGAAAGAACGAAGAGAAGAGCGAGAGAAACAAAGACAAGAAGATGAAAAGAGACGACAGGAGGAGGAAGAAAGAATAGACAAACTGCTGGAAAGTTACAAACAAGAAAAAATAAAATACGAAAACAACAAATTACAAGAGGAACAAATAAGAAGAGAAATGGAAATAACAGAGAACAATCATCAGAAAACACTGGAGGACCTAAAGAAGAGCTATGAAAGAAAAGCCAGACAGAAAGCAGAAGAGTTCAACGAATCCCAAAAGAAACACATGGATGAATTAAATGCTCAGCGGGAAGAACACGTGAAGGAAATGAACGACTTAGTCAAACGTGTGACCAAGAAGAGCGAAAACCTGAGAAAGATCAAACATCTAGTGGAAAAACATGAAAAAGAGATGAGGAATGCAAAAACTGAGGAGGACAAGGACGAACTACAGGAAGTACATGAACAACAAATAAGTGAATTGATGCAAAAAATCTTAAGTAAGGAGGTCAGTGACGCGTCAGGCTGCAGCATTTTATGACGAGAAATAAATGATTTCAGTTGTTTTTCTTTCATTTGTACTGGGAAAAAACGTTAAAGAAGCACCGATTTGTTGTTCTGCATGTTTACATGTTTGGGATTTCCTCACAACAGCGAAATAATTCTGGTGCGTCTAACCTGCCTTAAACACAGTGTCGGACTCCAGTCTCACCATTAAACCACAAGTCACTATCCCAACATTACCAAAGCTTCTGACTGGTTAAACTAACTCCAAAGACTGAATAGGTATTAGTTACTAAAAGACCCACGTGGAACCAGCATGTTCCACTCTGTCTCAGCTCATTAATCTACCACCTGGCAGAGTGGAAGCAATCACAAGGTTGCGAGTTTGACTCCCTGACCTGGAGTGTGTGGAGTTTGCATGTTTTTCCTGTGTCTGCCTGGGTTTCCTCCCACAGTCCACACACATGCAGTTAGTGGGGTTAATTGGTGATTCTAAATAACCCATAGGTGTGAGTGTGAATGGTTGTCTGTCTCTCCATGTTACCCTGCGACAGACTGGTGACCTGTCCAGGGTGTACCCCGCCTCTCCATGATAGCTGGGATAGGCTCCACCCCCTGATTAGGATAAGCAGAGGAGAAAAGATGGATGAAGATTCACATCAACTGATTTTTCTCTTTGGTTTTAGTTTGGTGTTTATTGGCATCTTATGCACGTCGCGTTCATTCAAAAATAAATAAATTAATTAAATAAACAAACGCACATATTTATATTGAAATATGTAAAGAACAGAACAGTTATCAGTGTGACTTTGTCATTCAAATGTTATCATTGTGTGTCTGTGTGCGCGTGTGCGTGTGTGTGGGTGGGGGTGTTAAATGTTTTATCACAAAGAAAGACGACACATTTGGTGATCAGGTACCTTTATTCTTGAAGTCATGGATCAAAGAGTTTTTCCTGGGCTGAGCTCTTTAAGTACCAGGATGTTCATTTAAGTTGTGTTAGTTTTGCTCTGTACTGCACTGTAAGTTGAATCAGTCATTCTAGTCTTTGCTGATTTGTTGTTTTCTGTAATGATTGGTAAAAATCTGGATATGTGTGATTTGATTTCTTGTATTTTCTTGAGAGTAACTGTTTCCATGGTGTTTATTTGTTTTGGTTGGGTTTTGTACATTTTGTGTAATCACGTTTTATTATAAAATCACAGATTTTTTTTTTTAAATAGACAGATATATGACTGTTTAGTTCAAGGGTCGGCAACCCTGGGCACGCGTAGGGTTAACTGACGGCACGACCATAGCTGGACTGGCCATCGGTGGGCCGATGATTTTATTTTATTTTTTTCTTGTAACGGCATGAACAATGAGAGGTGGTGGATTGGCCAGATGCTGGGAGATGTGTAAATATAACTCGTTGTTTGGTGGTGGCTGTGGCGGAGCTTCCACAGAGGCCAGCAGGTGGATGAGGGAAGGGGAGGCAGGAGAGACCCGAGGCGGTGAAATGAACTTCAGGTAAGAAGTTATGACCTGCAGTCTATCTGGGTCAGATACAAACCAAGTTTAGGTGGAGTTTATTTTCATTGTGCTGACTTTTTACAGTCAGTTACAATAACTCGTACTGCGTTCTAGCATGACGGAGTTTCTATACAGCTGGGTGGGTGCTATGATGTTACTGATAGTGAGCTTTATTTAATTCATAAGGTTAGTTAGTAGAGTTGCCAACTGTCCTGTAAAAAGACGGAATCGTCTCGTATTCAGAGAAAATATCACGCATTTGGTGTTGAGCTGAAAAGAGACACAGTTTGTCCCGAACTTCAGCTACAATGAAAAAGACTCAAAGCTGGATTTATTCTGCGTCTTTGCTGCACAGCTGCCTCTTCTCCTCTCCTCCCTCTCCTGTTTCTACTTCAATCATGAAACTGATCAATGATCAGCTGATCGGCTCTCTTGCTTGTTTATCGCCCACTTTGTGCCAGAAACAGGAAACCATCGGATGTCGCGCTAAACAACAGCAGCACGTTTGATCAGCTGTTGTTAGAATTTATTTCATATTAATTTCTAGTATCAGCTGATGTTTGCTGGAGCCACAGCTGTAAAGCTGCTGGTCATGATGTCGGTTTGGATATGTGGTGAGAGGGAAACATGAAGATGAAACCAGGAGATGTCCTTACTGAATCATCAGAGCTGAACAGGTGATGGAGAAACAGGTTTACCTTTTAGGTGACATGGATGAGTTGAAGTTATGAACTGTTTCTGAGAGACAAATAACACCAGGATCCTTTTCTATGTAGCTGACAGCTGGTAACTGTGCAGGGGCGGGTCTAGCAAAGTTTTGCCAGGGGGCCATGAAGGGCATTAACAGGGAGAGGGGGGCACAAGGAAATACTTTTCTTTCTGTCAATAGGAAAATTGTACTTAGTAGTCAGTTAGTAGTCAGTATAATCTTTTAATGATATAAGTTTGCATATGGTAGAATCCTGCATGTAATCATTTGTGTTTAGAAGTATATAGTTGGTGGCATATTGAAAGAATGTCTCATCCTAGGAGGTCTGTAACATTCCAGGGTGTTCTGGCTTCACCCCCACATCCTGGGAGCATGGGAGAGGGCGTAGCTTGTCTTATTGTTTTACGGTAGAATTAACGTAGCTATATCTGTCTTAGTCTAAGTGCTTTTTGTTTAGATGAACCGCTGGACTTCGAGACCAGCAGGTTTAGGGAAGTCATTTATGGGGTCACACACACACACACACACACACACACACACACACACACACACACACACACACACACACACACACACACACACACACACACATTCCAATGTATGGAACAAACGCTCACTGAAGCATATAAATAAAGACCAGGGCAGTCCTCTGGGCGAGTCTCAGTTCTGGAGGCTGCCCTTGCTAGCAAGAAGTTCTGTGTGTTTCTCTTCTCTGAGTCTTTACTGAAGAAGTGTTTTAGAGTATATCTCTTAACATTTTCTTATTCTCATTTAAAATGTCTCACTTTTATTAAATAATTATCTGAATCTTACACCTAAAGTTTTAATCTGATGTAAAATGTATAGAAATCATACATATACCAACAAGACAGTACATCACTGTCACCACAGTGTTTGTTTTCATTCAAAGGCTTTATGGCTTTAATACCTGGGGGCCGGTCTGTAGTCAAAATGCCCCGGCTGAATTCTTTTGTCCCAGTCCAGCTCTGGGCACGACACGCAGTGTATTAATCTGAGAAGGTGCATTAAAAACACATCGCAAATCAGCTCACATAGACACATTAGTTGTGCCGCTTCTTGATGACGGTATCTTGGCTAACAACCCAACTACCAGATTCAACTTGTAATTGGCTAAAAATCACTTAACCTACCAGTCAGAGGGACGTTGTTAGCGTTCCACATTCAGACACTTCAAATGCTTCAGCATCTGTCCGCTCAGCGCAGCATCAGCACCACGGAAACACACGGATACATCCGTAGACTCGAGACAGAATTCACAATGTGTTTTCAGGACTTTCAGGTGTTTGGACCAATCTTTTATTTTCTGATCAAACCTGAAATCTTTAATGAGCAGCTGGGTTTGTCTCGCATGGCTGAGTTAATGCAACATCGAAGCAGCTGGAATCCACAGCTGTGTGTGTTCATGGAGCTGCATGTTCACCTGCTGGACATCACTACCTGACACGTTTAACTGTCTTCAGAACATTGCAGAGGCCTTACTGACAGTATTTGGCTCTAATATCTGTGTGAGCAGATTTTCTCTCACATGAGTCCTCAGGTCTGAATGCTGGACACTCTGAGCCCAGAGTTCACATTAACATGTGTGTCTCTGTGTTAACAAACATGCCGTATTGGCCCAGTTTATTTTTCTTATCATTGTCGTGAGGAGACCATAAATAGCATTTGTATTTTCTGTTGTACAGTTCATTTGCTTCATGGATAAAAAGTGTCTTTTGTTTCCAAATAGCTGATAACTATTCACTGACAGCTGCCAACATCTGTGAACAAATGATTCTATAAAGTTGTTCTATATAGTGTGTAACTGTTCATATAGAGCGTTATTAAATTTATTGCTAATGCAATCATATGGCACACTGACCTCTGAGGAAATTTTAGATGCCGACCCCTGCTCTAGTTTTTAGGAAATGTCCATTTTCACATGTCTGACAAAGAAAAAGCTCCAGCACCATGAAGCAGCAGTAGGGTCATTTTGGGCGGGGACAGTAGCACGCCTTATTGAATGTCCCTCCACCTGCTGCCAGGTTGCAGACGTTAGGATGTCATCAGTGGAAGCCCGGGGAACATGACTACCACTGCATCTGTAATCACACCAGCAGAAAACAAGCTTATCAATCTCCACTGTTTACAGTATAAGTTGTGGCAAGTAGTCTTTTTTCCCTAAAGTCTTAGCATGACTTCTTTTGTTAAAATAGTTTTTGATCACAGCATTGCTTTCTGGCTTCAGTTAGTTTTAAATATGTCTTAAACAGGAGTAATGTCTTTGCTGAATCTGGCTGAGAGACTTCTTCTGTGTTCAGTATTCTCATAAAAATGAGGACAAAGAGGGAATTTAACTTTTCATTAAGCTCCCCTCCAAGGTATGGAGGCCTATCACGGGCCGGGATGGTCCATTTGATAAAGTAAATCTGTTGGGCATCTTTCGTCGCCTTTAGACAATAATTCTGATGGCAAAACCCCCAAAAAACCTTTTCATTAAGCTACCAAGCCCAACACGGAGGTCGCTGTAGGCTGCTCTTGCTCTGACAAAACGCAACTGCATGTTGTTTGTATTTGCGTGTCTTCTTCTTCATCATCACCTTTATTTATAAAGCACTTTAAAACCACAGCTGACACAAAGTGCTGTACATTGGAACTGTAAAATAAAATTACATGAGATATAAATAAAAACAAATAAAAGAGTGAAATCATTAATTAAATAACTACTTCAATTAAAAGAGAAACTGAGTCTCACTGAGGTTAAAAGCCAAGGAATAAAAGTGGGTTTTAAGATGTGATTTAAAAGTGGACAGTGAAGGCGCCTCTCTAACGTGCACGGGCAAATTATTCCATAATTTAGGAGCCACATAGAGAAGGCCCCGCCCCTTTGAGCTTCCTCCAGGAGCAGCTGGTCAGCTGACCTGAGAGACCGACAGGGTGTGTGGGGATGAAGAAGCTCAGAGAGGTAGGACGGGGCAAGACTGAAGGCATTTAACTCATTCACTGCCAGCCATTGGCAGTGAATGAGTTAAACCCATTGACTCATTCACTGCAATTGACGGCTATAGACGTCAATGGCAGTGAATGAGTTAAAAACAAACATGAGAATTTTAACATGAAAGACACAGGCAGCCAGTGCAGAGAGGCCAGCACGAGGTTATATGCTCTCTTTTACGAGTTCCTGTTAGGAGTCGTGCAGCCGCATTTTGAACCAGCTGCAGACGTGAGAGCAACGACTGACTGACCCCCACATAAAGTGCGTTACAGTCGTCCAGGCGGGAAGAAATAAAAGCATGGATCACTGTTTCAAGGTGCTGCCTCGAAAGAAAAGATTTTACTCGTGCCAGTCGCCTTAACCCTCAGGCCTTGTTCAAAAACACCACCCTTTCAGCTTGTTCATGGCCACAAGTGGCCACCTACAGATTAGGTCTGTAATTTTTTATTATTTTTGTTTTTTTGCCATTTTTTTTGCATAAAGCTTTTAAGTAACTTCAGTTCTTTCCATAAATATAAAATAATTATTACTTTTTTATTTTTTAACCCTTTAAACACCAGTTTGTTTGTCCACTGCACCAGCTGGACGACAACCTCAAATCTCGCAATTTTATATAATTGCATTGCTACTGAAATTTCTTGTATTATTAATAGTAGAGTCTAGTAACTGATTCACATCAACATTGATTATAATGCATTGTTATTTTAGTGCAGAGAGAGCAAAAACATAAAAAACCCCTTTCAGACTGTTCGTGGCCAAAAGTGGCCACCCCTTGTTTACATTTACAAAATGCTATAAAATTATTATATATTAAGAAAAATGTCCAGTTTTTTTACATGATTTTTTAGATTAGCATCAGGGCTGTTCATCAAAATCAAAATTTCATTAAAATTCTGAAATTTAACCCTTTAAATACCAGTTAGAGCACATAATCATAACAACTCATAAATAGAGAAAATCATAAAATCCCAGTTTTTTTCTAAATAATACATGCCATCTGATTTATTTGCTAACCATGATGAAGGTTAGATGCATAGCAATAATTAACACCATCAATGACATTTATGCAACATTGTTTTTTTCTGCAGTGGCAGAAAAACATAAAAAACCCCTTTCAGACTGTTAGTGGCCAAAAGTGGCCACCCCTTGTTTACATTTACAAAATGCTATAAATGTCCAGTTTTTTTTACATGATTTTTTAGATTAGCATCAGGGTTGTTCATGAAAATCAAAATTTCAATCAAATTCATAATTTTAACCCTTTAAATACCAGTTAAATCACATAATTGTAATGATTTACATAGGGATAAAAGCATAGAATCCCCATTTTTTTTCTAAATAATACATGCAAACTGATTTATTTTCTAACCATGATGGAGGTTAGATGCATAGCAATAATTAAAAGTATCAATGAGTTTTATGCATCTTTGTTTTTTTGTGCAGTGAGAGAAAAACAAAAAAAAATCCCTCTCAGCTTGTTCGTGGCCAAAAATGGCCACCCCCTGTTTACATTTACAAAATGCTATAAAATTCATATATATTAAAAAAATTTTCTACTTTCATTGACTTGATTTTTTAAATTAGCACCGCTTCTAGTCATAAAAACCAAAATATAATTCAAATTATACTGATATTATACCCTTTGAATACCAGTCAGGTTATGTATTATTATAGTAAAAATAGTAATAAAGTTCACATCTTTTAGCATATAAATGGTGAAACCTAATATGTTTTTTATCATCATTGCAGGTCAGTAACAGTAACTGTCACAATGATTTATTTTTACTTTATTTATTTATTCTTTCTTTCTTTCTTTTTTTGGGGGGGGGGATGAATGGCCAAAAGCAATGTCACACATGGTGTGTTAGTGGCCAGTGAGGCAATTTAATGACCAAATAAAAGAGCTCAATATTGAGCCAGAGAATACGATCCGCGTCCTCAGCCAGGGAGCGATAATCCTTCGTGCCCAGAAGCGGAGAGTTGGCGAGGCCGGCTCTCACCTTCAGATTATGAGACTGACACACTGCCTACTGCGCCAACGAGACGGCCGCCGGCAGCTGTCTGAGGAAAATGTGGGCGAAGAGGAATCCCCCGTCGTCCAGTCCGAGAAAGGATAGCATGTGCTCCATCAGTTCGAGAGCCGTACCACCACCCAGGCCTGAGAGGGAGAGGAGCTTCTCGGCTCGCTCTGCGTCGGTGAGGGCATAGCGCCGAAGAAGCAGCTCTTTAGGGGCGGCGTACTTCTCTCGGGTGGGTGGATCCCGGAGGAGCGTCAACGCACGACGGGTGGCTAGCGGGTCGAGAGAAGCCACCACATGGTGATATTTCGTGTCGTCAGCCGAGATGCCACGAAGGGCGAACTGGGCCTCCACGTGCACGAACCACGACGGGGGATCGTGAAGCCAAAAGTCCGACAGCTCGAGCGCCACAGCAAACGTAGCTGCAGCCGGAGGCAGAGGGCTGGCGGCTGCTGATGCATACAGAGCGGAGTCGGCGCCACCAATGTGGAAGTAAACACAGACGACACGAGAGCTGTCGATAAACACTGCTCGTTTATTGCTCATCACCACAGAACTCAACACTTTCACTCCAAAACACAGCAACAACACTTCCTGAGAACTGGGTGTGAGTGGAGCCCTCCAGTGGTCTGGAGTGGAGTGGAGTGAGTGGAGCCCTCCAATCATTGGGGGGGCTCCACCTCCATGCCCCCAACCCCAATCCTCCCCAAAGAAGAGGATTCGGGCACTGGCTAGAACTCAACATCAGTGGTGATGCAGTCAGCCTCTTTGAAGATTGTCCCCTCATCTTCTGGAGAGGAGGTTTCTTCATCTTGGGCAGATGTATTTTCTTCAAGGACAGATGACTGCTGCTGTCCTTGCTCTCTGACCAGATCATATAGGCAGTGCTTGAAGCAGTGATGACCTTCTTGCCATATTGCCAGAATAAATGATCTGGAAGCTGTTAGGCTTACTTACAGCAGTAGCTCTGTCTGCACCTGCAGAAACTCCAGGACACGTTTACAAACAGTGTTTGTTGTTGTTTGCGCTCCAGCTGCAGCTGCAGGTTTGAACTCTGCAAAATGTCCTGTGATTGGGGTTTTTTTTTGTTTTTGTTTTTATTTCTAGAGTTAATATTTTGGGTATGGTATCTTTTGATGAAAAATACAAGAGTAAAAGTGCTTTTAGCATGTGCTTCAAAGCTAAGTGACTGGGAACCTCAAAGCTCAATATCCTGCATCCACAGAAATTCACTGCAGCCTATGTAATGTTTGAATTTATTCCAGTCTATCTTGCAAATACATGTTTGTACTGCAATGTCATGCATAAACACAAACTATTAGATCCTTAAGATCAAACCTATGTCAAAATTGTTTCATTATTTTGGTCCATTGGAGTGTGGTAGGCCATCAAAGGCTGCTACTAGAAACTCAGAATATTACATGAAATTGCTTGCTTGGCCAAAAATGGGTAAATGATGTCATTTGGTAAAAAACATTAAAAACTACAATTTTCATGTGTTGACTTTAGAATGAAAGCAATTTTACCTAAATTGCATGATATAGTACTGTCAGTAACAAGGAATCAAAAAGGTGGTTATAATGGGTTTCAATTGGCCACAAATGGCCACGATAGAACCAAGAGGAACTATTTAGTGTATAGTGAATATTATTGACATTATTAAGGAGCTGATGTTGAAAATTAAAAAATCTGACAAAAATACACACCTTTGGGAAGTTTCATTCCACTGGCATTAACAGAACAAAAATGGTTGAAAAGCGAAAAGCAAAGTGGCCACAAATGGCCAGGATAGGACTTCACTGCTCTGATTTGGTTGTTCAATTTAAAACCAAGGTCAGTAACAACAGGTTTAAAATAGACTTCCAGGGATCCTAAAACAACAGAGGAGGACTCATCAGGGCCTTGTTGCACTGCATTGAACCAAACTGCAGAAAACTACAAACACAGAAATGTATGAAGGTAAGTGACCTCTTAAATTAAAGTGCAAATGAATCCTAAGATGATGGTTACCACAGCAACAGTAACTGTTAACAGAAAGAGCAGTTCAACAGCAGACAGGTGAAAGCTAACTAACAGTGTGAAGCAGCAGCTACAGGATCTGCTGCATGGTTTCATCATCTGTGATAAGAAATCAAATCTCTTAGGAGTGTGAGCAGGTCGTTTCCTCACAGGTTCACAGAGCTTGTTGTCAGCAGGGCAGATAAAACAGCACCGAGCCTCTACAGGGGGCATCCGGATTTGAACCGGAGACCTCTTGATCTGCAGTCAAACGCTCTACCACTGAGCTATACCCCCTCTGCTTGTGCTTTCAGGCAAAATCAGGCCTCTCTGTCTGAACAGTGCAGTAAAAGCAGAGCTCAGGTCAGTCAGCTGGAGGCGGAGCTTCAACAGGAGAGGAGGAGGAGGAGCAGGATGAAGAACATCATTCAGGAAGCTGCTGTTGCTCTCAGACAAGCACTGATGGTAAGATGACAGCGACATCATTTCAAAGTAAAAGTCTGAAACCTTCAGCTAACACAGAACACACGAGGTATTCGCCTCATCAACGTTTTATGTTTTAGAATACAGAAATGAAAAAAAGAGATTTGTGACAAGGTGGAATTTATCTGTAAAAGACAAAGTTGTTGCAAGAAAACTGAATTCATTTTATTTGTCTGTCGATGACGATGGTTCCATGCTCCAGTGAAGAAGGTGAGGTCTTTATCTCAGCCAATCAGACTGTTTCAGTCTTGTTTTCACCTGCAGCAGGACTCAGAGGTGGACCAGTGGAAGCAGCTGATGCAGAGGATGCTGGTGCTTTTAAGCAGAGACGGATTTGCCAGCTCCGCTGCTGACAGCGGCAAAGTGAACGAGCTGCAGACGGCTGACTCTGCAGCAGCCCGGTAATAAAATCAGTGCTCGCTAAGATGGTCTGCAAATACCTGACAGGTTGATGACTGACAGAAATCCTGCATCTTTATCGTCTGTGTAGAACAAGGAGTCTGGATCCAGATTGGAGTTTCCAGTTCCAGCTGGCCCGCTACAGGCCGGGAGATCTGGGTTTTGTGCCTCGCCCCGCGCTGAAACACAAAAACGTGCTCCCCAGGATGGAAGCTGGCTCCAGCAGGTTTGTGAGGACCTCAGAGCTCAGCTTCAGGGTCTGCAGGGGGATGTCTGATCACAGCTACAGCTGCAGTTATTATATGATATAGCTGTTTACAACTACCATTTAAACTCTCCATTCCTTCATCAGTTTAGATATCAGGTAGACAACATCCTCCTATTTAAGTAGTTCAGTTCATAGACTGTATGTGAAAGAGGGACAGAGCCTCAGTGTTGGTGTTGTAGCCTTCGCTGTGTTAAAGCAATGAGAGGTTGTTGTGCTGACTTATCTTCTCCCCACAGCAAACTGCATCCATAAACTGTTGAACAAACAGAAACACGTAATCTGAGCATCACACTGATAAATATTAAAGAAAAGCAGGTTGTTCCAAATGGCACAATCATGGAGGCGTAGCAGGGCGACTGGTGTCAGCATCCACCTGTCAGTGAAGCCTCATCAAAATAAACTAGTTATTAAAAACATGTTTTAAATGCCGTAAAGTTGAGACTGACTCAGTGATGGAGAGAGGTGGCCACTGAAGCAGTTTGACATTGCTGCTCTGGAGGTTTCCCTTTTTTAGCTTTAAGTGTTTTATGTCACCTGACTTTCTTCTTCTTCTGTTTTTCTTATATCCAGGAAACCGTCGAGTCTGAAGGCGGACAGCTCTGTGAAGCTCACCGATCCAGCTGTGACCTCCAAACAGACCAAACTCAAGTGACAGTAACAAAACTCATCTCCTAAAAACTGTCGATTATGTTGCAGTTCAGTCTGACATCGACTGAGACTCCTGTGAGCTCAGCCTGTTACAGTAAAGGTGACGCCTCTGTAACAAACTCTAATAATGTTCCTGCTGTGATGAAAACAGCTTGTCTGTTATTGTGCAGTGAAACAGGAAACATGTTATAAATGTTGTTTATCACAGTCTTCATGATTCTGCTTGGCTGTTGTTACAGAATGCTGAAAATTCCTTTACTGAGTGAAGATCAGGGGTCCGTTCTTCGTACCTCGCTTACTACATCCAAGATCAAATCATCGCGCCAACTTTGAGCTCGCTATTCCGGTTCTCACCTGTTGTTGACGATTAGTACAGCTGGATGAAGTAATGTGAGATCACTGGGTGGCTTAACAGGAGCTACGCATCGATAGTAGAAACATTGATCGGCAACCCTTTGATTGGTCGGCGAAAATGTCGAAGGAGAGCGCTCGGTATTTTTCAGCAGCAGAGCAAGAACTCTTGATTGAGGGATTCCAGGAGTTTCAGAGTTTAATTAAAACTCAAGGGAACACTGCAAAGGCTGCAAAAGCAAGGAGAGAGGGCTGGCAGGAAGTTGCTGACAAATTAAACTCGTAAGTAATCTAATAATAACAATAATAATGGAGTGGATTGATATAGCGCTTTTCAAGGCACCCAAAGCGCTTTACAATGCCACTATTCATTCACTCCCACATTCACACACTGGTGGAGGCAGCTACGGTTGTAGCCACAGCTGCCCTGGGGCAGACTGACAGAAGCCAGGCTGCCATATCGCGCCATCGGCCCCTCTGGCCATCAGCAGTAGGTGGTAGGGTAAATTTATTATATTATATTACATTATATCCTCTTTCACATTAGAGCCACAACAGGAACCACTAGAACATGGGAACAAGTAAAAGTGAAATATAAGAATATTCTACAGAATGGTAATATTTATCACTTATGTTGCTTTTAGTCTCTTGGACAGAGACCCTGAAATAATCTGTTTGTTTGTTTATAACAGCAACCAAGAAAAGGGCAGAGCAAAAAAAGACAGGTGGTGGTCCTGCACCCCCTCGTCAACAAGTTGGTTAAGTGAATAATACCCTCACGGGAATATCGATATCTCTCAATGAGCACACTGTCGCGCTGAGCTAAAGGATCCTGTCTGTCCCGCAATATACGCTGGATTCTGAAAACTCTCCTTATCAATCTCGCACCTTCCGCAATGGGCTGCTCGCGTAAACGGACAGGACATGGCTGCGACAGACTTCCCAAATCCACCTTCGCTTTTATAGCCGTGGTCTCTCATCTTGATTACACGAAGTAATTTACAATTGCTACTCTGAAATATGAATTACATCTGTAATAATCACATACATGTAATAGAATGATTAATAGTACATTTCCCTTTTTTAGGGAATGACCTGTATGTATCTGTGTGAAATCAATAAAAGGATCAAGTGCTGCATTATCTTTAGTTACATTGATGTTATTTATTTATGGACAAACAGTGGTAAAATATCGCTGTTGCTTTCGTATAAATGAAGCGGACATACCTGAGTGGCCGCGATCTAATCTTTTTTACATAAAGTAAACCTGCTCCCGAGCAGGTTTACGCTTACGGATCTGTTGCTATGACAGCAAGTCCCGGATGAGCTTTGGAGAACCGAACGATCCAAGATAACGTGAAATCGTCAACAATCAGATCCAGCTAACTTACTTAGCGAGGTACGAAGAACGGACCCCAGCACTTTGGGTTCTGTGAAGCTGCAGCACACACTCCTCAGCATTTCATAGATTTGCCTATTGAGACAATAGATGAAAGTACCAACGATCATCTCTACAGCAGAGAGACTGAAGGACACACTGAGCCCCCACAGGGGGCATCTGGAATTGAACCAGAGACCTCTTGATCTACAGTCAAATGCTCTGCCACTGAGCTACACCCCCATGTGGTGGAATTTAGTCATCGGCTGCACAGCATGTGACACAAAATCTGAATGAAAAAAATAAAGTGGCAGAATCAGGTTTTAGGTATCAGCCAGTCAGAACATCTAAAACCTAGATGTTATATATATATACATATAACATCTAGGTTTTAGATGATATATATATATATATATATATATATATATATATATATATATATATATATATATATATATATATATATATACAGGCTATACAGCAATGACATTGGAATGTCGTTCGGACTGGAGAAGTGTAGTCGGATGGTAACAAAGAGAGGGAAGGTAGTCAGAACTGAGGGGATTGAACTACCAGAAGGCAACATTGCAGACATAGAGGACAGTTACAAGTACCTGGGGATCCCGCAGGCAAATGGGAACCATGAAGAGGCCGCTAGAAAGGCTGCAACCACCAAGTACCTGCAGAGGGTCAGGCAAGTCCTGAGGAGTCAGCTGAATGGTAAGAACAAGATCCGGGCCATCAACACATACGCCCTGCCCGTGATCAGGTACCCTGCTGGGGTAATAAGCTGGCCAAAGGAGGAGATAGAAGCCACTGACATAAAGACAAGAAAGCTCCTGACCATGCATGGAGGGTTTCACCCCAAGTCCAGCACCCTGAGGCTGTACGCTAAGCGGAAGGAAGGGGGCCGGGGACTGGTGAGTGTCAGCACCACAGTCCAGGATGAGACAACGAACATCCAAGAATACATTGGGAAGATGGCCCCAACTGACCGAGTGCTCAGTGAATACCTCAGGCAGCAGAAACCCAAGAAAGAGGAGGGAGACGAGGAACCATCATGGAAGGACAGGCCCCTGCACGGTATGTACCACCGGCAGATAGAGGAGGTGGCTGATATCCAGAAATCCTACCAGTGGCTGGACAAAGCTGGACTGAAAGACAGCACAGAGGCACTAATCATGGCAGCACAAGAACAAGCTCTGAGTACAAGATCCATAGAGGCTGGGGTCTATCACATCAGGCAAGACCCCAGGTGCAGGCTGTGTAAAGATGCCCCAGAGACAATCCAGCACATAACAGCAGGGTGCAAGATGCTAGCAGGCAAGGCATACATGGAACGCCATAACCAAGTGGCCGGCATAGTGTACAGGAACATCTGTGCGGAGTATAACCTGGAAGTCCCGAGGTCAAAATGGGAGATGCCCCCAAGGGTGGTGGAGAATGACCGAGCTAAGATCCTGTGGGACTTCCAGATACAGACGGACAAAATGGTGGTGGCTAACCAACCGGACATAGTGGTGGTAGACAAACAGAAGAAGACAGCCGTAGTGATCGATGTAGCGGTTCCCAATGACAGCAACATCAGGAAGAAGGAACACGAGAAGCTGGAGAAATACCAAGGGCTCAGAGAAGAGCTTGAGAAGATGTGGAGGGTGAAGGTAACGGTGGTCCCCGTGGTAATCGGAGCACTAGGTGTGGTGACTCCCAAGCTAGGCGAGTGGCTCCAGCAGATCCCGGGAATAACATCGGAGATCTCTGTCCAGAAGAGCGCAGTCCTGGGAACAGCTAAGATACTGCGCAGGACCCTCAAGCTCCCAGGCCTCTGGTAGAGGACCCGAGCTTGAAGGATAAACCGCCCGCAGGGGCGTGCTGGGTGTTTAAGTTTATACACACATATATAAATAACACACACCCAGCACGCCCCTGCGGGCGGTTTATCCTTCAAGCTCGGGTCCTCTACCAGAGGCCTGGGAGCTTGAGGGTCCTGCGCAGTATCTTAGCTGTTCCCAGGACTGCGCTCTTCTGGACAGAGATCTCCGATGTTATTCCCGGGATCTGCTGGAGCCACTCGCCTAGCTTGGGAGTCACCGCACCTAGTGCTCCGATTACCACGGGGACCACCGTTACCTTCACCCTCCACATCCTCTCGAGCTCTTCTCTGAGCCCTTGGTATTTCTCCAGCTGTAGCATTTGTGTTGTACCTCGTCAATCTCTAGCTGTGAGAGCAGTCCCTTCTTTCGAATGTTGGAACACTGAGCTACTAGTTGTTTCGCCGTCATTGTGGATGTTGGGTATCGAAGAATCCATAGGTCCCTCATCCTATTCATGTAGCCCCTTCCGCCGGGGTTACTTGCGTAGTAGCAAGTAATTTCATTCTTGATTTTTTTTTTTTGATAGTGATGTGGAAGACCAGAGATGATGTGTGTGTGCGTCCAGAGTCATTAGGGTGCCGACCAGGAAACTCTGTGTCTAAGCTGCCCGGAGGGATGCATCTGGCATTTGACACACTGTGTAAATAAAAGTGCAATATGATTGAGTGCTGTGTGGGTCCATGGTGTGTCACAATCTGAAGCCCGTATTTCTTAATTAAGTTCTTTTCGTATTCTTTTGAAACAACAGGAAAGTGATTTTAAAAGATTCTTTCAGTCACTACCACGAACGCTGCACGCGCTTGCATCATGGTCATGAGACACTCTCGCAAACAAAATCATGGTTTAGTAACACTGTGTGCTTAAAAGTAACAGTAATCTAATTGCTTGTTATGCAATAGTAATCCCTTACTTTAATTGTTACTTGTAAAAATTGATCGCTTTATAGGGATGGGTATTGATACGATTTTCACGATTCCGATTCCATTTTCGGTTCTGTTTAACGATTCGATTCTTTAGATTCTTTTTAAAAAAGGAGAACACTAAAGTCGATTAGCTTAGAACTTTGTTTTATATCTTCTCTTTGAACAAGATAGAAATTTAGGAGTAACATGGCCTTACAAACCCAACAGTGAGATCTTGAGAGATCCAGCCTATGGCTCTTCAATGTGGTGTCACAGGGACCCCGGGGAAAAAAATTGTAAATGTAAAATAATAAAATAAATATTCTTCTGTAGCAATAACAAAGTATAACATAAATTATTCTGTAGCAATTACACAAGAATATCCAGTAATGTCCCTGCCTACGATTAAACACATTCACTTACCGAAAATCGGGGGCATCTGCTGTGGCAAATGGGTGCAAGCCTGTGACCACAAACTTAGTCACTGCTCGGTGACATTAGTCTATCCTGGCTTGAAAGGAGACGCTACCGGTAGACTGCAGCAAGAACTGGCAACATCTGAGCCAGCCAGACTCTGTCTCTCCCATCATGGTCACCTAAACGCACAGTAATGGCAGATAAGGCAGACCGCGCTAACATAATATGCACTGTTAGTTGATTATTTACCTGCCGCATTAACGGGAGAGGACGTGCAAACGTTACCGCTGCTGCTGGGTTGAGATTCACGAGTCCGGAGCGGAATTAAAAACACGACATTCATTTAAGGTCATCGTGTGTTTTGTGAGCAAATGCTTTTGCATATTCGTAGTGTTTCCTCCCTTAAATGAAGTATCTACTTTGCAAGTATTGCAAGTTGCCCTGTTGTCATCCGTTCTTGTAAAGTATAACCAATCTTTCTAGCGTCTGAGCTGCCATGTTTCCTGCCAGGTAAATGACGCTCCGCAACGTGGTGACGTCATTCGGGGCGACTGGAATCGATAAGGGAATCGTTTGCAAAAATGGCAAACGATTCCAAGGAATTGAGACAGTGGGAACCGGTTCTCAACAAGAACCGGTTTTCGATACCCATCCCTATCGCTTTACGCGTTACTGCCCATCAGGCAGGAAAAAGCTTTTATTTGTATAAAAGCTTTCAGTGATCCATGAATGAAACTGTGTCTGAGAATAATTCCGTTTGTTTTATGGATGATTTTAGTTTTAAGTTCACAGACAGTACGAGAGATCAAACCCAGGCAGCTGCAGGTCTCTGCTCACTGCACATGATAACAAGTAATTAAACAGTACATATTACGTATTTATATTCTGCAACGCACACCACCCTCACTCACCTGGAGAAAGGGAATACATATGCAAGGATGCTCTTCATCGACTACAGCTCGGCATTTAACACAATCATCCCCTCAAAACTTGCCCCGAAGTTTGTCAACCTTGGGTTGGGAACACCAATCTGCTGATGGATTCTGAACTTCCCCTCAGGTGGTGAGAGTTGGTAAGCACACCTCCTCATCACTCATCCTAAACACAGGTACGCCACAGGGTTGTGTGCTTAGCCCCTCCTATATTCCCTGCTCACACACGACTGTGTTGCTAAACAAGAGTCCAACATCATCATCAAGTTTGATGATGACACAACCATCATAGGCCTCATCACAGGCAATGATGAGACGCCTATAGAGAGGAGGTGATGGCACTGTACGAGTGGTGTCTGGAAAATAACCTGACTCTCAACATCAGCAAAACTAGAGAGATGATAGTGGACTACAGGAAACGACCAGTCAGGGAACACCAGCCCACCCACATCAACGGTGTCAAGGTCGAAAGGGTCAGCAGCTTCAAGTTCCTTGGAGTCAACATCACTGAGGATTTCTCCTGGACCCTTCACACAGACACTGCTATCAGGAAAGCTCGCCAGCGGCTTTACTTCCTGAGAAGGCTGAGGAAGTTTGGCATGAACGCCAACATCACCTCAAATTTTACAGGTGTGCAGTCGAGAGCTTGCTGACGAGCTGCATCACAGTTTGGTACGGAAGCTGCTCTGCCAGCAGCCGTAAATCACTACAGAGGGTGGTGAAGGCAGCAGAGCCCATCACTGGCACGAGGCTTCCTTAAAGCACACAGCATCATCAAGGACCACAGCCACTGCAACAACTGCCACACAAAAAACAAAACAAACATTTTTTGTACTGTTTAGTCTGTACTGCTGCTCATTCCTGTGCAGTGTCCCATCCCCCCCCCCCCCCTCACATTCCTATTTAAGATTTTCTTTATTTAATCACTAGTGTGTACATATATTTATATATACATATATACATCTAGTCAGTTAACTGAAAATCTGTTTTTTCTTTTACTACATCTTATTAATATTTTGCTCTTTACTATTTTTCTATTAATTTTTTATTATTTTATTTTATTTTATTTGCTGCTGACTGTCTTCTGCTCGTCAAACACATGTCATTGCGATGTTGGACCTGTGCTAACTTGCATATGACAAATAAAACCGAAACTGATGTGAGACCTGTGCTCCGCCTCAGCGGGGACAGACTGAAGTGTTTCAGTTGTTTTTACGTTAAATTTCAACTCTGAGCAGAACAAATCATCTGATTAGAAACACGTTTAAATGTAAAGCATTGAGAAGTTTCTGCATGAAGCGGCTGTGCTGACATCGATGGATCAACGCTGATCCGGTGACTCTAACACGTTAAAAGGATTATTTTGATCGATCCGGATCGATGGGTGAGTATCGGCTGATCACACTGTCAGCTGGTTTTTATCACAGAAACTGAGCAGGACGCAGTTTTCTGATGTTTCTTTTAATAAACTGACAGAAATGTAGAAACTTTTAGTTTTCAGGTAAAATCAGATTAACTCCAGCTGCTGAAGCGGAAACAGACGGAAGTGAACAGACTGACCGCACAAAGCTTTTTATTATCACTGATTTCAGAGCGATCCCAGTCTGACTCTGATGGTACACAGTTAGATAACGTTAGTGTTTGTTTGTTTGTTTGTTCGTGTTAACCGTCACATTCGTAATCATTGCTCATCCGCCATGTTGGATTTGGGCGGCCTTCAGCAGAGAGCTACACAAGTGTGTTTATGCAGGAAGCTCCATGTTGAACGCTTCACAAGTGCTCGATGTCCTCGTGGATAAAACTACTTCCTTTTGTCCTTGTTCTAATCACTCATTTTATCTTTTTACGTTTTTCTCTGTTGTGGTTGAACTGAAACTGTTTTAAATGTGATGAGATTTGATCTTCTTAATTATCCCGTTTGTTCTTTGAGTTTCAATCTTCATTTATTTATTTATTTATTGCTCTTTCACTGACAGCATTTCTGGGAGTGTTTTGTTTTAACCTGGGCAGGTTTGACATTTCCGGGATGTTGTTGCTGATCGTCTCTGATCTGATATCTTTGAGGCTTTTTGTTGCCATGTTTCAATATTCCAGTTCATGTTTTATCATTTTCAATTTTATTTTTATACCATTAAATCACAACAACAGTTAATGTGCTTTATATTGTAAAGTAAAGAGTTTATCATCAGCACTCATCACACTCTTATACTCAACAAAAATATAAACGCAACACCTTTGTTACTGCTCCCATCCCATGGGGAATGGGAGCAGTAACAAAGGTGTTGCGTTTATATTTTTGTTGAGTGTATATTATTAGTTACATTTAACAGATCATAAGTTTCAGTGCAACAGACGCTTGGATAAAAACATTCTCTTCCTGTATATTTGCTGCAACATTATATGTTGGAAACTGGTTTTTCCCACTTTCTCCTTCACTGTCAACAAAGAAATTTCATCACTGTGGGAATTTGACACAGTTTAGGTTTTTGTGTAACTGGTTTTTCTTTTATATTCACAGAGGTGCCTCAGCAGCGAACAAGCAGCTATGAGCTTATTCCCCCCAACAGTAAGTTAATCGTGACTCAAATATAAACTGTTTGGCCAAAAAAGTCACACTGTAATATTTCTTTGGACTAACTTTGATATGGTACATATTCATTGTGATATTATTTCTATTTATATAACCTTATGCAGCATCACAGTATTATTTCCATCCACAGCTTTTCGCCCAGTTTAATAATAATGTATACTTTATTGATCCCCGTGGGGAAATTACTTTTTTTTCTCTGTATTTGATCCATTCACTCAGTGAAGCAGTGGGCAGCCACTAAGCAGGCACCCAGGAAGCTGTGTGTAGGGACAGTACCTTGCTCAAGGGTGCCTCAGTGGATTCAAACCCCAGCCTTCCGATCATGGGACGACCCCTCTACCTACTGAGCTATCCCTGCCCCAGTTGTGCATCTTGCTGATGGGAAAGTCTAACAGCTATGTCAAATCTACTCCGGCACCTCCCAAAGATTCTCAGTGGAGTTAATGTCTAGACCAGGGGTCAGCAACCTTTTACACCCAAAGAGCCATTTGGAGCCGGTTTCCACGCAAAACAAAACAAAACACCGGGAGCCGCAAATACTTTTTGACATCTAAAATGAAGATAACACTGTATATATTGTTTTTACCTTTATGCTTTGTGTGAACAACTAAGGTGTGTTGCTTATGAAATCCATGAAGTGCTACAGAGAAAATGACATTTTATTTATTTGATTAACACATTTTGAACTCTTAAAGAAATATAACAAAAGGAAAGCTGAACTAAAATGATCCAGCAAACAAAAACTGCTGTGAGCCACCCTTATATCGCCTTTGTGCTTTTGGAGCCTTGACCTGACTTTTAAAAAATAATTGAAAAAAAAAGCACTATGCTGCTAAAAAAAATATTTGCAAATTTCTGCCTAAATATGTATTTTACCTGGTTAATGTGTGTGGCGGGGCGTGGTCTGCAGCGCCGCTGCAGCAGAGGCGGACGCACCTCGCCACCTTAACGTCTGCGCTATCTCTGCTGTTGTGTTGGTGTGTGTCGGGCTGTGAGCTGAAAAGCTACAGCCGGCTGTATGCGTCAGCAACCGTGTGTGAAAAGTGGTCAGTAAAGAGATGCTTAAAAGCGTGTTCATGCAAACATCGTCGGGTCTGCCGTGGTATGTTTACAACGGGACTTCTGCTCCTGAACCTCCGCGCACAGCGTCTGCAAATTGGGGCTGTACGAAGTCACTTTCATCTTTACGCAGGACTGTAAGCTGTCGTCTGTGAGGCGTGAGCGCTGTTTGTTTTAACATAGTTCACAGTGGAGCTGCTGACATAATGTGGATCCGAAGATCCGAAATTGGCCTATCTGGGGTTGAAAGTCTCGATAAATGCTACACCGGCTTCCGCGAGTGTGACGCTTATTTTGAGCATGAAAAAAATAATAAAATATAATTTTATATTTATATTTCAATATCACAATAATCTTCCAATTTAGAACTACAAGTTAAAAAAAGTAACATAAATAAAATGCACTTCAGCTAAATACTTTTAAAAAAACTCATTTATTTTCCCAAACCACACCGAGCCGCACTAAAAGGACCAAAGAGCCGCAGGTTGCCGACCCCTGGTCTAGACTCTGGGGCCAATCCATGTGTGAAAATAATGTTTCATGATCCCTGATTTCACAATCTGAGTCAGAAAATATCCACTGATGGAAAAAACTTGACAATCCAGTATATTCAGTCAGCTGTCATCTTTGTTTTGGATGACATAACACGACAGACTCTCAGGCACTGGTTTGGCTTTGAGTGGGCAACCATGTACCAAACGGCTGAGAGCAGCCGGCCTGGGTTCCTCTCAGCCGTTTGGTACATGGGTTAGGGTTAACCCATGTACCACGGGTTCTAGTCCAACCCGTGGCCCTTTGCCGCATGTCCGCCCCTCTGTCCCTGCTTTCCTGTCCTTTCTTCATTGCCAAATAAAGCTGAAAAAGGCTAAAAAAAATAAAATAAAAATGAAACTATTATTAAAAAAACAGCACTACAGAACCTGGACCTGACCAACTGGAGCAACTCCAGGTCACATCCTGATAACTAGACATGATGTATGCATCACTTTTCCAGTTTTTCTGCTCCCAATCAAACTGAAACATTTTCTGCAGATTAATTTCACTGATCAGTGTTTTTCTTAGTTACACAGATGTTTAGTGCCAATTCCACGAGTTTCTTTCTATTGTGTGTTTGAATGTTAACTTTAATTATAAATTATTTTTTAATTGCCTCAAAGCACTGTTGATTTGTATGGGTCTTTATGTTTCCATCTTTTATGTGAAGCACATGGAGTTTGCATGTAATGAATTATACTGTATACACATAGTTGGCATGACATTTTGCAGTGGAACCTGTTGGTTGAATCCAGGTGTGAGCTTGTTGTGGTCGGGCAGTGTCTGTTTCATTTGGAAATGACAAAACTGAAAAATGTTGTTGAACCTAAATTAAATCACATTTTTCATTCAAAACACAAATAATATTGCAGGGTTTCTTTCTCGAACTATCAAAACCGTTTTTTGGAAATAGCATGATGTATTTGTTGATGAATAACTGTTTTTTAACATTTGCAATTTCCTGCATATTTTATGGGTATTAATGTTTTTCTGGAGAAGATTCCTCAAACTATTTATCATATGTTTCCTCTCTGATGATCAGCAAACATGATTTTAAGACAATAAACATCTTAGAGTGACCCTGGCTCTGTTTTTGTTGACTCCCTGTTGTCGTTGTGTTTTGATGCCAGTGTCTGAGCTGAGGGTTGTCCTGCTGGGGAACAGCTGGTCTCAGAGGAGAGATGTGGGGAACTTCATACTGGGAGGGGCCGTGTTCAGCACTGAGGAACCAGACTGCTGTGTGAGGGTCAGCGGGCGGTGCAGGTGGAAAGAAATCGTACTGATCAACACTCCAGATCTGCTGCATCCAAACATCTCTGAGGACAAACTGACAGAGTTGATAGAAACCTGTGTGAGGCTCTCTGATCCTGGACCTCATGTGTTCCTGCTGGTTCTACAGCCTGAAGACTTCACTGAGGAGCAAAGACTGAGGCTGCAAACAGTCCTGGAAGACTTTGGTGATCAGTCATTTGAACACTCGCTGGTCCTGATATCAACACCTGCAAAGGAACAATTAGCTTCCAGTGAAAGTTATATGGAAGATCCCCCATTAAAGGACATGATGAAAACGTGTAGATTCAGATATGTGAAGCAGAAGAACCTTGAACCTCTGGAACTGTGGACACGTTTAGGTCAGATTGTGAGAGAGAACAAGGAAAAGCATGTGAGCTGTGATTTATCTGAAACTGGAGCAGATGGTTCTCATCAAACCCTGAAACATCAGCTGTCAGTGCCTGCAAACATGGATCCTGCTCGAGCTGCTGGTGAGTTCAGGAAAACATTTTATTACTTTTAAATGTTTGTTGGGTCTCTCTGTACTCTGAGCTCTTCTGCTGGCAGGAGGACAAAATATAAATAAGTTCAGTAAGTCCCATATTTAAAAACACTATAGAAATAAAAATAAATAAATAAATAACAACTAGGGACACAATGCCATGAAATCAGTACTTTTTAACGTGAAACTTTTAGTCACAGAAATGAAGAAAATGCCTCAACGTTCATGGTGGATTGAGCAAATGTGAGAAATTGTACCACACAGACCAATATCAGTATATTTTCCCATCCAATGGAACAAAATACTGGAGTTTCCAGATATTAGTCTAATAATTCAAACAGATTATGTTGTTTTTCTTGGGGAGGGGCGCTATGGTGGTGGACTGGTGGGCACAGCTGACTGGGTGAGGGACAAACTGAAAATGTCTGTAAACACCTCAGCGAGCTCTGAAGAGCAGACCCTAAAAGCACGGCCAGGGATGTTGTCAGGGCCAGCTGCTCTCGGGGTTAGTCCTCAGAACCTTCCACACCTCAGTTGAAGCCACAGTGAGTGAAGAGCTCCGTGCTGCCTCTGCTGGTAGAATCCCTCTGAGTTGGTTGGTGTTGAGGTGTAGAACTTATTCAGCTCATCTGGTAGCGTGTTGGAGCTGACTGTGACCCTGCTGCTCCTCTGCTGGAAATCAGTAATTTGTTGAAGGCCCTGCCGCATGCGTCGGAAATCTGAGCTGTTGTAGTGTCCTTCCAGCTTCGGTCTGTATTGCCTCTTGGCTTCCCTGATGGATCTACGCAGGTCTTATTTGGCCTTTTTGTCCCCCACAGCGTCACCAGAGGCAAATGCAGTGGAGCGTGCATGTAGCATGGAAGGTACCTCAGAGTTCAACCATGGTTTCTGATTTGGATATGTTTGTAGTGCTTGGTGGGGACAATATTGTCAATGCATGTGCTGATGTAGCTGGTAACCACTGATGCATATTCCTCTAAATCCACAGAACTCTCCTCTCTTACGCCAGCGGTCTTAAACACACCCCAGTTTGTAACATCAAAGCAGTCCTGAAGCACCAAATCAGATCTCTTCGCTCCAAACGTTAGTAATTTTAGCGTGTGAATGTGTGTGTGAATATGTGTGTGAATGTGTGTGTGAATGTGTGTGTGAATGTGTGTGCGAATGTGTGTGCGAATGTGTGTGCGAATGTGTGTGCGAATGGGTGGATGACTGAATGTAGTGACTAAGTAAAGCGCTATACAAATACAGGCCATTTACCATTTTGTTCGGGGCTCGTTTGAGGAGCTGCCTGTATGCTGGTGTGAGGGACCAAGCAGCCAAAGCAAAGAGGACACAAGCAAAAAATATCTTCAAAAAGGGTTTTCTTTATTTTAACCCTCAAAAAGTCCAAAATTAACAAAATTCAAAACCATACTTAGCAGGCCCATAAAACAGGTCAACTAAATATAACTCTACAAAAAGTAATTTCCAAAAACTTAAACAACAAAGTGAGACACAACTTAACTCACAAACTGACCTAATTAAAAAGACACATGAGGGTAGCTTTTATAATGATTTGGCCAAACCATTTGAACACAATAGGGGGGAAAACAAAAACACACACATATTAACTAAGCACAGAATAACCCAACTAAACCTAAAACACCCCTGCTCCTGGTAAGCCCATGGTTGGTCCTGCTGAGCAGGCATTTTGTCCCCAGAGTCCTCAGCCACGCCTTTTGCCCAGACAGGAAACAGCCACCGCCCAAACCCAGGTAACTCAAAGAAAGAGAAACATAATTAATATAACAAAACATTTTAGAAAAACCATACAATGCTACTATGTGCGCGCCTCATAATACCAGTGTTAGGTTTAACCAAATGATTAATGAATTATATTAATGAAGAATACTGCAAAGCAAAATAATAAAGTGAAAAATGGACTAATTTACCCCTGTGTGGCTGCTGCCATCACACACCCCCCCTCTTCAGGACTCTCGCTGGTACAGCGAGAGAGGAAGTCGGCGGTAACGTTGTTCTTCCCAGGAATGTGCTTGATGACAAACCGGAAAGGTTGCAGAGCAAGGTACCATCTTGTGATCCTTCCGTTCTTATCTTTCATCTTTTCCATCCACTGAAGTGCACTATGATCCGTCTCCAGGGTGAATTCTCTTCCAAGAAGGTAGTACCTGAAGGAATCAAGGGCCCACTTGATTGCAAGGGCCTCCTTTTCCACTGTTGAATATCGAACCTCTCTCGGGAACAGCTTTCGGCTGATATAAGCAACAGGATGACGTTCTCCTTCCAAACCTTGAAGTAGCACTGCTCCCAGACCCCTATGAGATGCATCCGTTTGAAGGAAAAAGTGCTCATTAAAGTCTGGACTGTACAAAACTGGTTCGCTACTCAGTGATTGACCGATGTCCTTGAAAGCTGCTATAGCCTCCTCTGTCCAGTTAATCTGATTAGGACACTTGATGCCTATCAAGTCCGTTAGTAGAGCTGCCCTGGTGGAGAATCGTGGTATGAACCGACGATAAAAGCCTGCCATGCCCAAAAAGGATCTTAGTTGCTTCCTTGTCTGTGGGAGAGGACAAGACTCAATGGCTTGGATCTTACTGACCTGAGGCTTGATCACCCCATTCCCGATCACATGGCCCAGGTACGCAGTCTCAGCAGAGGCAAAAACACACTTAGAGGGGTTCACCGTCAACCCAGCAGTGCCAAGACGGTCGAAGACAGCATGCAGATGTTCCAAGTGTTCCTCCCATGTGGTGCTGTAGATGACAATATCATCAAGATATGCAGATGCAAATTCTGAGAAACCACATAGTACTTGGTCCATTAATCTCTGAAAGGTTGCTGGAGCCCCATGCAGCCCGAATGGCATCACTGTAAATTGGAAGAGACCCCAAGGTGTTCGAAAGGCAGTCAACTTCTTTGATCGCTCTGTTAGTGGCACCTGCCAATATCCCTTGCACAGGTCAAGTACTTTGCCTTCCCCAGCCGTTCCAGCAAATCATCAATGCGTGGTGTGGGGTATGAATCAAACAGTGATATTGAGTTTAGGTACCTGAAGTCTATACAGAACCTCATGCTTTCATCCTTCTTTGGCACCAGGACCACTGGATTACACCACTCACTCTTTGATGGCTCAATGATCCCCAAGGACAACATGAGGTCGATTTCCTTCTTCAGGGATATTAGCAGACGTTCAGGGATCCTGTAGCTCAAACGCTTTACTGCGACGCCCTCTTTAATGACAATGTCATGCTCAACAATATCTGTTCGGCCAGGATTCACTTGAAGCACCTCAGAGTTGCATGCAGCTCTCACCTGAAGCTGTTTATCATCTGGCAGATGACTAAGGTCAAAATCTACCACATCAGCAGAAGGCAAGTATTGCTCACCAACCTCTTCTTCCTCTGGCACACCCCTTATGAGCATCACCTCTGCTGTCTTTTCAGGGCGCTGCGCCCATTCCTTCAATAGATTTATGTGCAGAACCCTGCTGGAGCGTGGCTTTCCAGGGATGAACACTTGGTAAGTAGTGGACCCCAATTTCTTCTGAACCTCAAAGGGCCCTTGCCACTTAGCCAATAGCTTGTTGTTGTCAGTGGGGAGGAGCAC